GGAGTCAAAGGGTTAATGCTGCATGACAAAGGTCAGCGCAGTTTGGGGAGGGAGGAGAAAGGCAAGCATTGTGGTCACAGACAGCAGCTCCCTGCACCCTAAATGCCACTTGAGAAATGTAAAGTGATGGCATTGCTCAGAAAAGAAGGGCCTGAGAGCCCCTGCCTAAATCCCAGGGCTTTATCATTCATAAAAGCCCAGCCCCTTGAGCCATTAATCGTGTGCTCCATGGCTGGCCCCTCAAAGAGCAGCAGATGACACATGCCCAGCTGCCATTGCAGCCCCTCCTCAAGGTAGCAGGGCAGAGGCAGGTGCACCCCAGCGCCCTCTGCTCGAGACTAATCTATTCTCCCTCCTTGTCCTCTGCCTTTCATCTCCTCCAGCAGCCCACGCTGACAACTGTAAATGAGATTAGACTTCAAGGCGTGGGGCAGATGCAGAACCCCCTCTGTGCATTGCCAAGAGACCCTTGTAAAGTGTCTTTCCCCTTTACAATGCACAGCTTGGTGGAGGGGGGAAAAGGGAGAAAGCTTCTAGTCACATTCATAGACATGTCCAATAAGCAGACAAGGCAGACCCTGGTGCTAATCTGTTGTCATACTGTACAGTCTTTCCATCAGCACCTCTGATTCTCCCATCCATATTAGAGTCAAAGTTTATTACTTTGTCTCATTTCCTATTTCTAGTTCCTGTAACCTCCTCTTTGCAGCACCATGCTGCTCAGATGCAGACAATGATGGGCTCAAATCTAGAGAGCAGAAGTCCAAAATCCAGGTAACGACTTGAAGGTAGCACATGACTCCCACCCACACTGCTGCTCACACAGACATCGTTTCCTATTCCCCATCTTGCAGTTTCTCCTCTGCCTGCTCCCAGTGAGCCACACCAACCAGCAAAGCAAAAGAAAGTGGTAAAATCACCAGGCACAAACCTACAGGGAGCTTCCAGCCTCAGCCACAGCCCTCAGCCTGCAACAGCAGCCAGGGAAACTCCTCAAAGGGAAGTGGGATGTTTAGTTCAACAGCGTCCCAGTAAACAAGCTGGAATTTCTTTCATAGCATGGGAAATAGTTCAGCTGTGTTAAAGACTATCCTGAGAAAAGGGGCATGGTTAAAATAAAAGATCATCAAGTTCAACATCATTCCCTTTCTTAGTTACCACCAACCACAATCACAGCTGGCCTGGTTTTATGGATTGCTTTTTGCAATTTCAGTCATGCAGGAACCAGCCCTGGATTTAAGGAGGCTGCAAAGGCAGCGTATTTTCAAGAACATTTTAATGCTTTAGAGGCTGTGACAGAGCAGGTTCAGCTGCACCCACTGCTGGTAGTGTCAGCAACTGAACCTTTCCTGACAAGCACACGCCTGGTCCAGAATCATGCAGCTTCATTTCTGAGCTCAACTTTTCCATTAGCTGCCCACACAGACTGGGTAACTTGGCATCTCTCTGCATTCCCCATAAACTCTGTTCATCTGTTGCCATCACACCCACGTGCAAGTCTCAGGACATAATCCAGGATTCCTAAAGCAGCTGCAACAAAAACACAGCCTGGATTGACAAGCAGTAGAATCAAGGTGCTGTGCCAGAGAGGAGGGTCTTTAGGGAGAGCTGCGTGTGGGGCTATTTAAAACAAGTTTGTTGTCATGACTACATGCCAAGGTACGGGTGAGAAGAAGTGAGAACTCCAAGATGAGGGCTGATAATATAAATTCACCCTTGAAGTCACAGCAACCATGGGGATGAGACAGAGATGACAAGAGCTCTTGGCATCTAAAGCAGCTAAAAGCCACCTCTAGAAGGCAGTTTGGTCCTAATAAGGAACACCATCATCTCAGATAGTCCCTTTTACCCAGTATGGCCAAAGGCTGCATAATACCAATTAGCTACAGTATTCTCTAAAGCAGGGACACCGGGGGACACAGAGTCAAAGCAGGGCACCCAAGGCCTTAGAAAGGACATAGCAAAGCAGGAGCAATCACCCAGCTTGGATTCAAACAGGACATGCATGCAAGGGAATTAACGAGGGATCTTAGTAGCGCACAGAAGTATGAAACTGCCAGGACCAGCTACTGGGATTGTCTCACTTTTGAGATTATCTGAAGATGAGCAAAAGAGAACGTCTTTGGCCACTGAAGAATGCAATACAAGTGGCCGTGGAGAACAGAGAAAGGCAATGCCTTGCTCTGCTCAGAGCCTGGATTCCACACAGACTGTGGTGTGCTCAGTGACAGTGCAGGCTCTGCAGAAGGCAGCAGATGCAGAGTTAATGTGTGTGTGGGGGTGGAGGGTGTTTATGAGCACAATAAATAAATGTATGAAACCCTATAAAAGTTCCCATATAAAAGTGAGTTAGAGCTGCTCGAGGGCCATGGCCTCATAATAAAAAATGCATCTCTTCAGCATGGCACGAAGCAGCAGCTGTACTGTAACCTTCCGGCTGCAGCACTGGAAAGCTGCCTGCCTGCCAGCTCTCAAACTCCTGGGTGAAGTCTTGGCCCCCCCCCCCCCCCCCCCCCCAAAGGCTCTGAATTCTGTTCTGGGGAGGGCTTCTTTGAACATCAAAGCTCAGGAAGCAGAGCTGGACCTGCCAGTTTGCTAAATCTTAGTTTTTACTTCTTAAAAAGATGCAACCTGGCAGGAGATTGTGGCTTCAGTCACTGACAGCTCCCAGTGTGACAGAACAGAACTGGATCAAAACAAATAGAAAAATTCTTCCAGAAGTCAGTGTCTTTTGCTTCCCCTCCAAAACAAATAGGGAAAAGCACAGCTTTAAGGCTGAGCAGCAATATTCACCCAAAAGTTCTGAGTTTTTAATTGAAGATGATGAGAGGGGAGGGTCAAAACCACCACCAAAATCCTTTACGTTTTATATGTCTAAACAGAAAACTACTTTTTTGTAAAGTAATTTGTAAAAAAAAAATAAAAAGCTGTAATAGTAATTTCATTCTCACCGCTGTCAAGAGCAAGGACAGGGAATTGCTGACCTCTCCTTTGCACTGTTTACCATCACACGAAATCATCCTGGAAACAAGAGACTTGCAGACTCCCAGCCTGAGCATTCCCAACTGCTCCAGCACTTTGCCCAGGGTCTTCTCTTGTTCTGCTGGGAGGTGCTGAATGCAGAAGCCCCACCTGAACAGGTGACTTAAACTGTGGTCCCAGCCCACAAGTCACACTTGCACAGGGCACATAAATCTTTGGCCATTCCTTTCCACCCGAAACACATTTAAGGCCAGGCTACATCTCCCAGCAGAGCCGCAACAAGACTGTCCTCATGTTTCACACAGATGCCAGTTAGAGCTAAACAAAACATTCTCCTCTCCTACCATCACAGAGCTGCTGAGATAGCAACCTTGTTCCACGACAAACAGCATCCTGTAATTCACTGCAGGGCTAATTGCATTGCAGAGCTGATATTGCTCTCCAGGAAGACGTCAGCTCCTCGGCTTTGCCCATGGGCAACAAGGACCTTATTGATGCATTCAGGACTCACAACCAGCAGTCACAGGTTGCATTCTCTTTGGTAACAAAGCCTTACAGACAAGGCTTAGAATTCCACTGCAGTCCTAATTGAAACATAGCTAATTATCAGAGTCCTGTCTTTGCAACCCAAAAAAAAAAAAAAAAGACATCTACTATTCAGACAAGTCCAGGGGGAAATTACCCATTCCTTCCTTTGAGCCTGAGGTAGGTACCAGCCAAGATCCCCATCCCACAAGGACTCAATGACTTCAAAGGATGCTTGTAGAATCAGACTCCAAATTAGGTCCAACTCTAGAGACAGGAGAGAATTCCAAGTGGCTGCAGCAAACATTCAGCTCAGATCACAAACAGTTTGTCTCGAACCCACGTTTGGAGTAGCAGCATTTCCTACGAGCCCCGGCAAATTCAAATACACCACACAACTTAGGTGTGAACAACAATTATAGCAACCTAATTCCTCACTGCCAGTTGCTTGAATGAGCAACATCAAATGTGCTGCAGTCCAGATGCATGGATTAGCAGCTGGTCACAGCTAAGCAGATACAAACACGCACTCACCAGAACTAGTTTCTGGCTGGATGATAACAAGACCCCCAAGGAACCAAGAACATTCTTTTGCAGAGACTGCACGGCAGCCTTCAGCTCTGTAGTTCAGCCATACAGAAGCAAGATTGCTGCCTTTTAATGCAGGGACAAAAACCCATCAGAACTTCAGCAATGCCAGGACAATGCCAGCATCACAGTAAGTTCACTTACAGAAGACCACAGAAGTTTATGACACCCAGAGTGTGCTGCAGTTTAGAAGCGAGTCAACCCTAGAAAAATCCTTCAGTTTATAGCTGCTTCACATTTCAGCCTGGCAGATGGAAGGAACACCAGAAAGCAAACATGTCAGTTAAAGCAGCTAAAAGCATAATTTACAAACTGGAATCTGCAGCCCAAATTCTCAGCAGCTCTAACTCAGAGCTCTGCAGAGCTGTGTGCATTTCACATGGCTGCAGGTTGGAGCCACAGTACTTATCTGATATGACCACAGCCTTTGGTAGAAAAGCAGATATTTTGTTTATCCTGTAGAAGTTAAAAGTAGCAGGTCCTTCACTGGAACAAATAGATGTAATCCTGCACGAGTCAATTTAGAAACTAGGGAACCTTTTTAAATAATAAAGTGCTGATTTTACAGCACTGGTCCCTGTTTGCCAGTCTCAAAGAGAGGAGATCCTTTCACCCAGTGAGCAAAGTGAGTGCAATGCTCAGAGCACCTGCTGCAGCAGCTCTGCTCAGAGCTGTGCTGAGAGGGTGGTCAGGCTGGGCCCACTTCTGTAGCTGGCAGCTCTGATGAGGAACAGAGAGGAAGGCCCAAAGCAGTAATGATGATAATGACTTGCATGCTGGGAACTGGGAACACGGAGCTCCTAGACGGTATGTTAAAAGCACACAAAATCTAGTACAGAGGAAATTAAGTGAGGGTTACACTCTTTGCTCACAAGACAGAGACAATACATCAGTTGTTCACATACCTGATCAAACAGAGCTTTCCAGTGCTGAGAGGCAAAGCATAAAGGGAGGAAAAAGAACAAAAAGGTATAAGAGCAACGACATTAATATGCAGTAAACTGTAGAAATATATTCTCCAGAGAAATAACCTAATGATTTAGTGCCATTTCCAATATCCTTCTTCATCCCAGAACCACCTACCCTTCCGGGGGGAGGAGGCAGGGGAATCTACCAACCACAGGGAGTAGAGTTTTCATTTACAAATCCAAATTAAGAAGAACTCAGAACATTCATGTGTTAATTCTGTTTTCTTCTGCTTTGTCTACTTGCAAGCAAGTAAGGAATAAAAGGCTTTTTATCCACCAGGATCAAGACAGCTTGGTGTATGCTGAGGGGAGGGAGGAGTCGGCAATGCTTTTACAGATCCCTGTGGCCCAGCACTGACCCTCAGACTGCCCCGTCTGGTTCTGAGCCTCGTCCTCTGCCTGCTGCTAACTCTGGCAAGGATTTGCTGCAAGGCCTTTGACAACCCATCAGGTCTCAGAATAACATCTGTGCACATCAAAAAATAGGTAATACTTCTAGTACAAGGTGGAAGGGCAGAAGGATGGAGAGAATCTATTACACAGATTTATCCCCATAGCTTCTGGACCAGATCTGTCTTAAAGGCTGTGCGTAGCAAGAAGATCCATTTCAATGCAGACTACTATGTGAACACTCCACAAGTTCTCTTCACTAGGGAACAGAAAGAACAAGCTGATGACTGGCTCCACTTTATGCACTGCACAAAGACCAGTGCCACACCACCTCCTACCCCATCACTGCTGCCTCACAGTGCCAGGAATACAGGAAATTCCTAGTGAAGTGCTTAACGCTTATCTCCTGGATTTTCATTCTATGACTCTATGATTTGGGGTCAGAAGAGAAAACATTCCATGGAGCAAGTGACCTGGGTAACTGCTGGTTTGTATTCCCCACAAACCTGCGTGTTCTCAGTTCTCCTTGCCTGAAGTGCTGTTCAGCACAACACTTTGTTGCTGCCTCACTCAGCTTCCCAGAAAACCAAAATGAGAAAATTAACAAACATGAGACTCACATAAGCAAATCTCCTCACTAGGATACATGCAACACAAAGCTGTGGTGAGAGTGGTATCCAGTTCTCTTAAGAATATTTTCTTTCCCTTGGTAGGCTGATCTAAAGCAGAACTGGCTGGAGAGACAGTGGGGTATCAGGACACTGAATTCCATTTAATCAGTTCAGCTGTTGGCTCCCACCTTCCCCATATCCCCATCCCTTTATAAACTCCCATTCATCATCATAAATCAGCCCAGCACTTTAAAGAGAACATTTTGGGACTGCTTGAATCCTGGCCTTGTGAAATGCTGCTCTGAGAGCTGTAATGACATCACAGCTGAGCTCTCACATGCTGTCAAGGCTGTAACAGCCAAACATCCACTGTGTAATATTTCTGTGGCTAACAACACACAAAGAGCCAACCTTGTGTCAGCAAGGCCAAGCAGAAGAGCTCACATCAAAGTCTCAAATGTAATAACAGAAAATCAGCCCCAAGTCAGGTCTCAGGGAAGCACACTCCCAGCACAGAGCAGTCTGAATTTTCAGGGATGATGCTCTGCAGCCTGCTTGTTTCAGCAGGAAATCCTTGGCTGTGGAGAAGGAGGGCATTTACACCGCTTCCTGCTCTTCTGACTTGCAGATGATACACGATACCTCAAGTTTCTGCCATATCATCTATTGCCAGGTCTCAGCAGCTTCCCACAAGCAATGCAACTGCAGGCTCTAGCTATGCTTCCTGCAGTCAACAAAATAAGGTACAAGAGTCAAATAACAATGCAGATCCCAAAGTAAGTAACACTGCGAACTGGATCAGACCCAAGCAGTCCTACCTCAAGGTCAAGCAGCATGTCAGCAGCAGAACTAGGATGACAATCTAGATTTCACTGAGGAGAGCTCGCAGCCTACTGAGCCAGGACCCCAATCCTGCCAGGCTCTCAACCCTTCACTTCTCCTGGACACAAAAGCACAACAGTTCTCATAGAATAAAAGGTCACAAGAATCAGGATTTGGAAACATGTTCATTGAAAGCTTCTCGAAAGCCATCCTTCCCTATGAAAACGACATATTCCCTTGATCAGGCATGCTCCACTGCCAGCTGTCTGGCAGTTCTGTAGCAGAGGACAAACTGCAGTACGTTTTCTTCTGAACGTTCAGCACTAAGAAATACAGCCTGGGGAAAGCAGCTCCAGCAGGCAAGTGTACTTCCTCTGCTGCCCTCTGGGAGGAAAATTCAGCAACCAAATTCTAAGGGGCTGGGGGATCAGGAGTCAGCACTGCCCCTAACAGCTCCATGCGGGTTCCACTAGCAACATCATAAAAGTAGAGGGAAAAGAAGATGTGCCATTGCCGGAAGCTTAAATTACAAGCGTTGCTTTCACCCAATGCAAGGTCCTAGAGACAGCCCACCAGAAAGACATGCAGTATCACTGCCTCATCCTCCTGTAGGCAGGCACAGAGCCTGAGCTTATCTCTGCAGGCTGAGCAGACACTTGCCAGAGTTTGCTGGGAGGGAGAGCTGCAAACAGTCCTAGGATGCACCAGGAATGCAGGATCTGTTCACATACGTGTTCCCCCTCTCTCCCCCCTCCCCCCCAGACAGGTGCAGAGCGAGCTCCTGCCTCTGGCAGATGCAGAACGACCAGCTCAGCTCTGCAGGCTCTGCTGCTCTGCCCGGCAGGAGCTGATTCAAAGCATGCAGAAGTACTCGGTGTCCTTCTAGGCTGGGTGAGCAGAGACAGAATGGTACCAAATTAACCCATCTTCAGGTGCAATCGGAGCCCTGAGGGTGAAGGGAGGTTGTCGAATTGGGGGAAAAACTTCCTTCTCTGTTGCTGGGGAGCTGGAAGAGGAAACGGGGAGTGCTCACATCAGTCACCTCCGAGAGGCTGAGACTCTGAAAAAGCCCTCCGTGCCCAGGAAGCCCCTCAAGCCAAGGCAGCAGCCCCTCTCCTGCCTCCAGAGACGCCTCCGCGTGCAGCCCCGCTCCCCCTGCCCGCAGCCCGGCAGCCGCAGCTCACTCGGGGCTGCGTCTCCCACCGGCGCGGCTCCGGGCGGGCGGGGGGTCCGGGCGGCCAGGACACCGCAGCCGGGGCTTTCCGGGCCGGACGGGGAGGAGGAGGACGGCTTTCCATGACGGGGACGATTGCCGGAGTCCGCATTCGCCGGCGGCGAGGGGAGAACGGGGCAGGGAGCGGCGGGGATGGAGCCGGCGTCTTTACCTTGCCCTAGAGGGTCACCGGCCCTATTCCTCCCCCCGGCCCGGACTTCATTTATAAATAGCTTGAGCCGATTAGCCGGGCCCGGAGGAAAGGGGTGAAGACATTGAGCAAAGGAAACTTACATCCTCTGCGGCCATAGGTAGGACATCCTCGGAGTCGAGCACCTCGATTTCTTCCGCTTCTGAGCCGGCAGCCACAGCAGGGGAAGAGCTGGCGTGAGGTTCCGGCAGCCTGTCTCCCATGCTTGGAAACGGTCCCCCTCCAGCCCCCGCCTCCCCCCTTCTCCTCGGATCCTTAAAGAAATTAAACCTAGCTGCCGCTTGGCAAACTTTCAAGCGCAGCCGAGCCTGCCTTCATGACTCCCGCAGCCGGGAGGGGAGGAAATCCTCCATCCAGGGAACATCCAATTAGAGCGGGCAGAACGGGCAGGCGGCATCCCGGCGGCCGGCTCCGGACGGGGCAGGTGGTGACCCCTCCCCGCGCCGACTTGACCGGCTCGCCTCCTCCCGCCCCCGCGGCCGGGCGCCGTCCCCAGCCCCGGGCACGGCCCCGCGGAGCGACCGGGGGGAGCCGCGCGGCGCCGGGGGCTTCGAGAGGCAGAGCCCGGGAGCGCGGCGGAGGACGCGGGCGGGGCGGCGGCGAGGAGGAGGAGGAGGAGGAGGAGGAGGAGAGGTACGGGAGCACCGCGGGGAGCCCCGCCGGTCCCGTTTCCAGATGCCGGCCGGGCGGCTCCGTGCGCCCTCGGTCTCGCTGAGCAAGTGCGGGCAGGCGGCGAGGCGTGCGGGGTTACGGCGGCTTTTTAAACCTAACTTCTGCTGCCCGGGGATGCTCGCGATTCGGGCTCGGTGCGGCTTTTTTAATCCTTCACCGTAATTATTTGTCCCTATACGTTAAGATGGGCGTCTTAATCATCTGGAGCCTGGATGAGGAACTTGAGGAATGCCCTGACGGAAGGCAGAAATACAGCAGTTTTAGCTTCTTCCAATCGAGCACGGGAATAGCAGGTTGGTGGGGGCAGGGCGGCAAGCCGGGCTGATGCTGCCGCTGCTTTGCGCCGTGCTGGCAGGCAGAGGAGCACGGGGCCGAGGGGAGAGGATCCAGAGCCTCAGGCCAACACTGTGTGACACGGGAGTTCTAATAGCAGGTCGCACAGACCTCAGCCACAAGGACAGAACCAAGTGAGAATTCCTTCTTTTCTTTACAGATTTGTTTAGAAGGCAGCCAGCAACAAGAAAAGCTAAATAATAATGAGTGAATGCAGATAGAATACCTCTAGAGGTGCAATAGGATCTTCCATCCAGCAGCAGCACACAGCAGAGATTCCCTCTTCCGTCCACAGCTGCCAAAAGCTCCATGCTGTGTATCACTTTTGATCTAGGTCAAATTAGTCCCACGCTGTGATGGGAAACCCAGCAGGCCTGGGTGCTCAGCTGTGAGCCACGGCACCCAAACCACGCAGCAGGGAGGAGCACAACCCTGCAGAAGGCAAAGGCCCAGCTGGGCTGATGCTGCTGGGCAGCTGTCCAGAGCCCCTCCAATCTGCCCTCCAAAATCTAAGGGCAGGCCACCAAACCCAGCACTTGAGAAGCACCAGCCCTCGTAAAACACCATCCCTGCCAAAATATTCCAGGCCATGAACAGCTATTATAAAGACAATCTCTTTTTGATTAAAAACTTAAACCTCATCAAAACTCCAAAACAGATGGATGGGAAAAAAAAATGCACTATGCCAGCAGAAAGAAGCAGCAATCATTTAAAGATGTCTTTAGGGAGGAAGGAGGAGAGTTTTAGAAGTAAAGAGAATAAATGAGATGTATTTCAGGGGTAACAGGTTCCACGCAGCTGGGACTGCCGTGTCAAGAGCCCTCTATTCCAGGAGCTAGCAGGAAAACACTAACCATGAGATCTAACATAAACACAGTAAACAGCAGGGAGAGCTGCAAAAGCCTTACCTTAACACCAACTTCCCATTAAATTGGAAAACTGCTTCGAAATTATAAGTTCATTTTTCTTCTGTAAGGAATGTTTCATTCTAGTGCCAATGAATGCTTTGGGTTTTTTGGTTGTTGTTTTTTTTTTTTTTTGTCTTTTTTTTTTTTTCTTCCCAGGGAAATATCTCTGCACACTGCACATACGAGCCGGTGCTGTGCTATAATTGTCACAGAAAGGAAATTAACAGTATTCTAATGAGGAGTTTTGTTACAGACAAATGATCGTCTTCCAAGTCTGTGCGAGCCTCTTAATTTAGACTGTCATTTCTCCCCACTGCATACCCTGGTGATTCTACCTTGGAAAACAGTAATTGCTAGAGACACCAGGGAGCTGTGGGCCAACACAGAGCAGATGCAAACAACACAGAAGGGTTACAGAAGGAATTCAGAGAGACGAAGCTTGAGATAATAGACCTCAGTACATGATCATATTCAGTTATATGGGCAATCCTTGATATGCCTCATACTGCAAACAAAATGTAGATACGGGTCCTTCCTGCATGGGAAGTGGCTAAAAAGGTCAACTAATGAATATGCAATGTGAAAGCCCTCAAAGGGTCGAGCCAACATCTGCCAGCCAAGCCTCCCAAAACAAATCAAAACAGTTGGTTCATGGGTCCTTTTTCCACCCAAAGAAGCCCCAAAGGGCTTTTACAAAACTGCACAGCTCTCGCAGTTGAAAACAAATGGAGGAATCTATGCAGCTTGAGGACTGCATCGGAGCTCAGACAGAGACCTAAACCTGGGAGGCTACTTCTGAAGCAAAATGCACTATTTAGGATCAGAAGCCAAAAGCACTGCACCCGAGCAAGAAGGTAGATAGCACTTACGGAGTTACAGCTGGATCGAGCCAGTCAGATTAACACATTCAGACTCATGAGGATCTATAAGGACCACAGGCTGTATGAACTGTGCCCAGAAGGTAACAGGGACAGAGGGTGCTTTGATTGAGGACATCAGCCTCACATTTTAGGGTTAATGTGAATCAGACCATATGACCTGACTTACAGCATCTGCCTCATTCGTGAATGCCTTCCCTCCTGAAGAAACAGTGAGCAAAAACGAGCTCCAGTCCCTTCTATCAGATCAGCCCCACAGTGTTTAAGATGTCTTTGCACCTCTTGGGATCACAACACACACAGATGGCTTCATTCCAAATTAAAACAACTGCTTGAAATGAGACCAATCAGTAACTCAGGGTTAATTTTCACCATAAAATCAAGCCATGCTTACAATTAATCCAGAACTGGCAAACTTTCAGGCAGGAGGCCGAAGCTGAGGGGTGAAGGATGGTCTCCAAGGATGGTGAACCAAGATCGTTGTTCTCTCAATGCCTTTGCACCAAGGCCAGGCGATTCACGTCGCAGGTTGAACGGGAAGTGGAGATGGAGTTTGTTTTAAGGGGAAAAAATAATTTGAAAACGTTGACAGGATGAAAGAAAACTGACAAGGAAAAAACACTGCTAAGAGAGCGTGAGTGAAAGGAGCAGCAAATGGGCTGCTGCTCTTCCTCCCAACCAACCAGCATCGAACAGCAGCAGTTCAACTTTTAAGACTTTCATTACGTACTGAGTGGAACACTTTCACGTCAGTGGCTGTAATTCTCAAGGGCTGCAGGAGGTTGTGGCTTGTGAGCATTGTAATTCTTAACTAGGCGCCATAATTACAGAGCATTTCAGAGGCAAAATGAGCCCCTCGGTGTCCGCTGCAGCAGCACAGCCCTTGTGGGCTTCAGGAAATGGCTGCAAGGGGCTTGAGGGGAATTCTCTCCTGTGAGCAGAAATGCATCGGCGTTCCTGAGCACGGCAGAGGCTCCGGGGTCTGAACATGAAGCTGATGGCGCACTGTGCCTGATGCACGTTTACACGTGCTGGATGCCACAGAAGGTGTCCGTGAGCCTCTTGTGCAGCTCACAGCAGCCAGAGATCCTCATGAGCTTCCCTGCCCTGACCGAAGGGTTTAGCAGCCGCGGGACACCTCCAGCCTTGCAATGGCACGTCCTCGTTGCTCGGCTGTCCGGCTGTTGCAAACAAAGCATGCCCAATGGCGCGCACAGGTCTGCCTCCAGTCCCTCTTTACTTCTGCACGCGGCTCAGAATGTTCCCGAAGCTCTGCCAGTTGCAGGCAGGGTCCTGTGCAATGCCTGCACCTTCCGTGTGAGCCAGGACCTGAGCGGGGCTGAGCTCAGCTCCGAGCCGTTCGCTGCTCGGGGACTCACTTAAAATAACGGGATTTCTTACAATTCCCTCAGGATAGCGCCTTAAAGACGTGCTTGTGAGCTTCCGTCCTGACACCACCAGCCTCCTTCCCGAAGGATTTCGGGAATCACAGCGTAAAACAGACGCGGCCCCCGCCGCTGTGGCACAGATCGCCTCAGCGCTTTTCCTCAGGAGCGGCTGACATCGCGCCGCGCTCCGCACCCGCCCGCCGCTCCGCGCGGGCCCATGGCGCCCCCTGGCGGCCGCTCCGAACAAACGCCTCGAGGACGCAGCGCGAGGTTTTATAGGCGTCACTTTTCAGGGCGGAGGGGAAAATAAAGGCTCAAGACCAACACAGTACACAGTTATTTTATTGAAATAGTTGAAAAGGCCAGCAATGGAAAAATAAGTTTGTCACGAGGGCGGAATTAATATTTACTCGATTGTTAGAAAAGCTGTGTCTACAGGTAACTCTAGCCAGGTACAGAATGCACTGTGAACCATGCAACTAAGAGACTACAGCAGATAGGCACTGTGTACTATTTCGGTTCTATCTGATGCACAGCTGTTGTCAGGTACAACTGACACCCGTGAGAAACTGAACAGCAGCACTTCTCGAGTTATTAACATTTATAATGTACAAATGTTCTCACCTGATTGATAAGGGATATAAAACACAGCGTAGTGGAAAATGAGTAACAGCTGCACACAGCATGTGAAGTTGGTCTGGCAGTCATTGAAGTTTACGTTTTTCCTTTTAAAAGAAATAACTGAGTGCTAAGCATGGCGCTGGTCATACAGCATACAAAACCAAAGGCCAGGGCTCGTTCTGGAAATACATTACAGGGGGGAAGGTTGGCTGTTAGAAAGAAATTTCACAATTTCTGGTTGAGTTTGGAGTCCAAAACGATGCAGTCACTTCAAATCAAAGTGAAATAAATAAGCAATCCTTCAGGAAGTACGATCCTCGAGTTGAACCTACTCTATGGAAAACGAAGTTCAGCTATACAGCAGGATGTCACTGTGGTGAAAGCCCTCAGAACAGCATTCTGAATAACTCCTTGGGAAGCAATGCTGTCCTGCTCTCCTATGTACAGGTTATTTACAACAAGTTCCCTTTTGGCCTCACCCGTCAAGCCCCTGGAGCTGGCTGCTTAGAAGTGATTCCTCCCTCCCCCCCACCCCCCCATTTTGCAATACTGCAGTTAGAACTATAATTTAAAATAATCTTATGCATGAATTACAAATATTAATAAAGTAACTCTGCATATATAAATATTTCTAGCGGAATTTAAAGCATTCAGAATGTACATAAAAGTTTATTTCCATTTGGTAGGGCCAGATGTGCTTCTTCTCAGATCACCGCTGCTTTATTAATGCTTTGTACATAGCGAAACCCAGAAATGCAAAGACAGTAGCACCAAAACTTGCTCGGAGCCAAAACGTGGAGCTCTTGAGGTCCGCTTGTGTCACGTGCCTGAAATTTGACACACAAAAAAACACAAATTATTTGCAGGACAAGAATATCAGCCAAGTCGTGCTAAGCAACTCTGCTTTTGGAAATTCATCACTACACTTGTCACAGGCAAGGAGCATACACTTCTGCCCTGTGTATACTTTAGCAGTCATTCTGTTTCTCTTTTAAAGCTTAGGGTTTGATCTGCAGCCATGATCACACGAGTAAACTTCTAAAGTCAGGGCTCACACAGCTGAGGGTGGATACAGGAGGAGGCCATTAATCAGCAGTGAGTATGGGGAAGGCAGCCATCTTAGAGCACCAACTAACACCCAGCAAATAAAAACAGCATAATAATCCATAATGAGAACAAAGTCCATCGCTGCAAAACAGAACTTTACTCAAATTTGAGTTTGCAGACTTTTTGCTTCTCCTCGCAAAACTTTCCAGTCCTGTTCAATATCTACTTATGTTACTCCCCCCAACAGAAGGTTACTGACAAGTAGCAAGTAATATTTTTCCAAAAGCTCGAAGCAAAAAAACTGGCAGTCTGTAAACCCCTTTCTTCCCAAACAATCACAAGAATGGCAATAGAAACAGTCATCCAATACCAAGCTGAGAGCTAAGAGATTGTGCTGGTGAAACAGGCAGTGACAATGGAGTCAGCAAAAAAAGGCAAAATCCAACAGCAGTATGAAGATGACACAAAAAGCCACACTTTGCATGACAGCACACAGCCAATGGCCCAAGTCTCCAAACGCTGCAGAGTTTGTGAGCATGCTCAGTTAAACACTGCCAGGCATCCTCAAAGTAGTCTCAAGTATGACAGCTTACCATAAAGCAGGAACTACCATTTAAGTTATCATAAAGGTATCATAATTCAAAGCACAAGAAGTTCCTAAATAATAGTAGTTTGTTTGTTTTTAAGATAGAAAATAGCTTCACTCGCCTATCTGTTTTAGCCTGCTTTTATCATCACAGGTTACTCAGTGAAAACTGCAGGAATATCAAAGTCCAAGGAGCATACAGGATTGTGCAGGGATCCTAAGCACACACAGTGCACAAGGAAGTTGATGTAGTGTGAACTGCAGAGCTGTCATTGAGAAGCTGTTTAGTAAAGCAGGAACTGCACTTACTATCAAAATACACAAAACCAGTTCAGGATAGTATTTAGTAGACACTTGCAGAAGCAATATAAGCCATCCAGGTAATCCGTGTGCAGTAATAACACAAGCTAAAGAACAGGCACAAATTCTCTGGTGCATTAACAGCAAAACAGTTGTTGGCTAAAAATTACTGATCTTAGTTAAAAACATCTTGCTGGGTTATGGAATCAGATTCAGGAATTCCTACAAGCATTAGTTCTACAGCTGCTTTTGACAGACTCTCTGCAAACTACGTGTCAAGTAGACTGCTGAGGGAAAGACAGGGAAAAGGCAATGGCAAGGTCACCTCGGTTTGGCTGCTGTTACCTGTCTTCAAGCAAACGTGGACCAAGAGATGACTCCATGAAGATGGAATCTTCTACAAAGCTGACGGCGTGCACCTGATGCATAATACTGCTCTCCTCGTCTGCTAACAGCATGGCACCCAACTCATCTATGTGGGGTCTTAACCTTTTTACACACATGCACAGTTTGCAGTTCACAGTGTGGCTCAACATTAGTAAGTATCTCAAATAAGAGCAAATGTCAAAGCCCAAAGAATTCATCATTTTTACCCATCTAACTTCTGATTCTCGTGCAGCTGTTAAAAACTGACTGCTTGGGAGAAAACAGAAATAAATAAATGGCTTTGTATTTTTTGAGGAGCAAAGTAAAATGCACGACTTTCTGTAACAAAATGCTACTGCTTTAAGGACAAGGAAAACTGTTTAAGAGACCAAATCTCTTCCTCCTCCATCCCCAAAGCATCAACTTCCACGTACCCACAAGCTATGCATGAATGAGAGCTCCTGTGCTCTACAGAATGACTCTTAACACATCAGCCCTACGACTGACACGATCTCATTACTGTTGATAATTCAAATCAAGACTGTATTTTGTCACTATCAACAGCTTTGGCATCTGTGCTTTTTTTCCTTTTTTTTTTTTTTTTTTTTTTTTTTTTTTAAATAAAAGACTATAAAACTCAATTTGTAATTTATAAAAACTCATGTAAAATAAGTCATTTGCACGTGACAGGATGTTAACAGGTTACATGACAAGCTCAGGATATTTGTGTCACGATCCCCAAGATCACTTTGGTTAATTCAAATGCCCAACTGTTTATAAAACCACCCTGTTGGCAGTGCACACCACTGTTTAAATTGCACACGAGTGCTTTTGCATTGCCCTGTAAAGTACTCATATCCAGATTTTCTGATTCCTATCTCTGATTTGTTTTGACTTCTGCACATGTCCATATTTAACTTGCTGAGTATACTTCATCCTTTCAGAAACAATTAACGTATTATCAGTCATTATAAAATCCTCTTCTAAAGGGAGAGTAAATTGACCCTGATCCCTTCTCCAAGTTACAGATTCTTTCATTTAAAGGAAGAAAGTAAACCAAGGCAGGGATTTGCTTTATAACCTCGTAGAAAACAACAGTTTGAGCCCTCTGAACATCTCAGCCCAAGTGCTGAAGGTCCAAATATACTAAAATTCAGTTCTTCACCCCTTCAAAAATAAATCCAATTTTTCTTACTTCAGTGTTCCTGAGAATAAATTCCATTTTTGCAACATCAATCCCTAATACTGATCAACTTACATTAAGAAAAGAAATCTGAAATACTTAAAAAGACTGATGGTTGTTTTGGGCACAGGTTCTCTGGTTTGAATGCATCTGTAATGCACAAACATTGCTCAATTCATGAAAATCCTGCCTCTTCAGTAAATACTGTAAATACATTTTATTTCAGTAGTTGTGTTCGTGGCAAGAATTTTCACCAGTGGTAGAAATTATTGCTGCCTTGCTAATAAAAGACATCTGACACTTTCATTAGCTCAAAACTAGAAAAATTACCCTCCCCAGAGGAAAAATAAACACTTGTGAATGTGCAGTAGTTAGGGCTCCATCATTTATGTTGTATTCAAAATTCTTGATGATGAGAAATCAGCTTTCAAACTTTTAAAGCAGACGTGTATGTACGTCATCACACAAATATTTCTGTATATAAAGGGAGTCTAAACGTGGAGCCCGTGCCTCTGTCAGAAGATCCAGATTTTAATGCACATTTTGGAAAAAGATGACATTTTCACTCAGCCCTTTGGAAAGGGTTAAGTAAGCTGTTGAATGGGATCTTGGAGATCCATACAGTCCTTCTTTCAAGAGGCTTTAATAACTCAAGCAGTCTGCAGCATGCACTGACCAAGCAGGTAACTGAGCATGCTTATCATGGGTAACACAGAAAACCAGCGAGTTCTGGGCCAATGTCAGCACTTCTCCCCACGTCAGCAGAAGAATCCCAAGTCTGGGGAGGTTTAATCTTAACTATTTAAATTCAAGAACATTTCCATATGAACTACAAATGCATTTTAAAAGCACAGTGTTGAGGCCAACATCCAAGTCACACGGCTAGTCACACCAGAATTATAAGCAAGTTAATGCAGTCAGCAAGTAGCAGCAGCCTGCTCTGACAGAATGTAGGTTCTAAGTATAAAATATAAGCAACTAAACTCCAAAAACATTACACAACATATACAAGCTGCTGCAGCTTCCCTTCAGGCATTTATTTTCCTAATGCCAGCAGTTAGTTTCCCCCATGCATTAGTTAAGCAACACGTGAGAAGTGCCAAGCACGTCTTATCATATACAGCACCTAAAAAGAATGCAAAATGTCCATTTAATATGTCTATTTGGAAAGAAGCAGAGGACACAGCTCTGCAAAACTCTGAGTATGGTCTACTGAACAGCTGAGAGAAGGAAGAGCAGAGGTGAGAAAATATTGTTATATTCTCCTGATTTTAGGGACACCCGGGTGAAGGGACAGATGTCTGCAATCAGGTTGAATGGTGATACGTTCCTACAGTTTGAACCAGTTATCTGCTCATAGCATGCATACTGAAAAATGAAACCTGGGTTATATTCTTACAGCTTTCCCACTGTTATAAAGAAATGGGACTATTGCTTGCGTTTCATTTCACAGAAGGAAGGTTTTTATAGAAATCTTATAATTCCCAAATCAATTATGCTTTTATATGGAAGTAGAACATTGCTTTCATTTCATAGTATTTAAAACTTTAAAAGGAAGAAAATAAAACGGTCTGAGAAGCCTCCCTCACTGAACAACACAATTATCATGCGTAACAATTATTTTGAAATGAAGTCAGCAGAAAAACATCACTGATATATGAGGAAAATGCAGCAAGTAAGGACTTCAAACCAAGAGAGCAGAAAAAAACCCACACAAAATCCATGCTCTGGAATTAGAGAATGGAAAAAAGAAGCAAAAAAAAAAAAGCTGGTAATTAAAGAAGGGGTCAGAATGACATGCACAGAAGCCTTGCTTTTAAAAAACAAGGTAGGAAGGAGAGATTAAATGCCAGCCAGCCAAATACAATGAACACCTAAAGGAAAGAACAAAAACACAAAAATACCAGAGCAGTCACAAGTCTCATGCACACACGTACAGCACTCTGAATGCAGTGCTTTCTTCCTCAAAGCAGCAATGAAGTGTGATCCTGGGTAGTTCAAACCAACAATCCTGTTTCAGCAGAGCAAGCATCTCCAAACTGAACATCCACGTTTGTTCAACTTGCCTATAAGGCCTCAGGAGAGTCTTGGAAGTTTGTCCACAAAAGAGAAACTAAAGGTGGGCATGAACAGCTTTTTCAGCTGCATTCATTCTTCCTCTAACTGGAAATGTTCTAATGCACTCCTATATTTTTGCTTTGGGAACAGTGTTTAAGCACTACTTAGCAACAATACAGGAAGGAATCTAACTGTAAAGATTTCACATTACCTACTTCTACTACCTAGAGCCTCAGAATAGGAGGAGATCAGAATAACTTTTGAGGAGCCTCTTTTGCCCATTTTTCACCTAACCTTTGCTGAATTTCCTCACTTAATGGTAAATATCTGTAAGAGCAAAGTTTAAGAAGTCATATAAATTAGCTACATCAGACAATCCTGCTTGATTCAAATGCTTTCTCTAGCGAAAAATCATTAAAATGCTTCTAAAAAGTTAACATTTCTAAAGAAGAAAACTACCTTAACCCTCCCAGGTTTACAGTTAGAGGTCATTCCTTGTTGTTTACACCTATCTCAGCTCCCTTCTATATATTCTTTCCTATACATACAGTTGTTTACACAGTGAATGGTGAATAACCTGCCACAATGTCCTCCATAAGAGAGAAATCCTGATCAGGTAACTAGGAAGCAAGTAGAAAAGACAAAAGACATTAGCCTGGTGGAAAACAAACCTCAGCAACTAACATAGTGACTGCAGACAAAGATTCTGGGAAATAATCCTCCTTTCTGTAGGATCAGTGCAGGAAGCAGTGAGGAATTCTCTTCACCTTGAATTACAGACTTCTAGCTGGTAGTAGATTCATATATTTATTCCATACTATTTAGTGACAAAGTGAGGAAAAACAGCATCCCAGGGCTTCTCAAACAAAGGTTTCAGTGCCTCCCAGCCTCAGAGGAGCAAAGTACAGTGTCTAATGCAGAGCTCAAAGAAACAAAACAACACAAACAAGCCCACACAAGAGAGAAACATGCCACAATAGTTAGCGCAGCAATCCATAACCATTCCAAAAAGCAAGGATGGGACACACAGGTGGCTTCAGCCTCCATTACGAGGACTTGGGATTTCCTAGTAGTAACTGCTGAATGAAGTTTTAGACTGATAATCTGCAAAGAGATTTATTTTGCAAGGGATTTTTGGCTAAGGGCAGAGCTGTACCCTAAGCTGTAGAGATGCAGTATGAAGAGTTTCACTTACATTCATCATATTTTCCTGAGCTAATGAACTTTTCCCTCTTCTCTAAATTCTCCCTCTGTGGTTACAACATGCATCTCAGATTAAAGCAGTATTTCACAAAGGTACTCATACTGTAAATGGGCACACTGTTAGGCCTACTCTGTACATGTAATTTGCATTCTGAAGGAAACACCCACTTTTATTTGGAGGATCTACATCTAAAACCAGTAACGAGAAGTAATACAGACCAGATCTACTGAGGATACATCAGCATGTTGTAAGCAAGGCCTTCACATAAACATGTTTATCACAATCTGTGACTCCAGCGAACACAAAAATTGCTTGGTTTGAACTCCCATCTGCTGGGTCAAGGCGACAAGTGCTGAGCTGTTAGTACACCACGTGTCAAAAGCAAGGTGTTTTGTAAGTGTGCAGTACACAAGACAAGATATAGCACTGTTTTCAATGCTGAAAACCAGTTCTTTTTACCCTTTGCTTTTTCCAAAATATCTGCAAATGGAAATGGTTAACTGTTTGCCATTTCTTACATATTGCATTTTATTCAGAGGAATTGGATGTTCAAAGCTCCAGATTTTTACACAACTTACCCACTCTATATAAACCAGACATAACATACACACAGAAATTCTATCAGCTCCCAAAAATAGCAAACTAGCAGTTATAAACATGTCATATGTTATACAGTGTTGCTACAGTCAAGCTGTGTCTTTTCCTACACTATTTAAATGAAAGTAATTTTATAATTGATAAGAGGTACTAACTCAGATCAATACTAAACAAACCTATAAAGCCTCATGTGAGACATTACAGAGATGTATATGCATTACTTGTTGTCCATTACTAGCTCCCTGAAAAACACAGTTCCAATTCCTCCACTGCATTTTTGTAATCAGAGTGCCTGAGTTGACCACCAAGTTGGTAATGTTTCATAGAAATCAATGGACTGAGCTCAAAAGAACCAAAAGCACCCTTAAGTTAAATAGATCAAAGCTTGACAATTTTATGACAATTACTAAAATAGTACCTGCCTACTCAGTGGATATGGAGTGAGAAATCTGTAGCACAGAAGGTTACCAACTGCTTTAAAAAAAAAAAAAAAAAAAAAAGCAAGAAAAACCTTTTATTTTAAGAGCACACCTGGTACCTAATAAATAAAGTTAAGGACCTGTTAAGAACTGCAGTGAAGAGTTTGTTCTTTACAGATTGCAGCAAGTCTGAGTTGAGGAAGTTCTGACAGATGCAAAATGTACACCTGTTGCAGGCGCACATACAGCGTAACCGGGCATGGCTGCGAAAACACACAGAAGGACAGGAGTTGAAATCTTGCTCACATAATCAGGTGCACAATAGGACTGTGCCACAAGAGAGATTCAGGAATAAAAGGTACATTGGAATGAGTAAGGAGAGGAGAAAAAAATACACTGGGGAAGCGAGGGTAACACTACAGCTGTGCAGAATTTTAGGGCTAGATGTTGTACATGTTGTACATTTTAGCATTACCACCACACATAGCTCTTAGTAGGAAGCACAAATATGAATGAAAACATCTGCTGAATTTATTTACGTTTGTAAGGAAAACATCTAAAGGCTGAGTACCTCTGCACAGCAATAGATAACACCCCTTTTTCAAAGGAAAGTAAGCCACATTTTCTATCGGTTTGAATGCACACTTTACAGTGACAGCAACCTCTACTTTTCCCACCCTAACAAACACACATGCTTCAGAACTAAGGGAGAAGCAGGAATACTGAGACAACATTTGGTTGGTGCTACGCTTTTTGTGGTTTCCAGTACTCCAGCATAACAAAATAAGAGAACAAAAACTAAATTAAAACTTTACAAATCTAATTAGATTTGGTTTCAAATATATAACTTTAAAAAATCCTAGACCTTGGGTGAAAGTGACATTAGTTCTATTTACTTTAAAGCAAATGTCAGCTGTCATACTAGACTCCATCTGCTGTAATATTTATTTAGCTCATCACTGTATTAAAAGTTCCACCCACCAAAAAAAAGAGATGCAAACTAAGCTTAGCAACAGTGAGATATGCCATGAAAAAGAATGCAAGCTTAAAAATATAGCATCTGAAACCTTTATACAGAAGTTTTATTAAAAAAGAAATATCTAAGATCTGTCAGATTCCCAAAGCAAACAGTAAGCACCCTCAAAACAAAAAGCTTCAAGCACTGCTTTGGGGGAAACTGTTATTGTTTAGAGTGTCATTAATTGTAATCAACTGTGAAGTTGAACTATTTGCAAAAGTGACAGTACAACTTGTATACAATTATCTTAAAACATCAAGATATGAATAATGAGATACAAAGTGATGCCTTCACAACAGAACTCTACACATTAATTGAACAGATATGCCCAAAAAGTAACACGAGCTGAATAAATTAGTGCAGTCTTTAAAAAATAGCTTACACAACAGCTGGCACTGTTTCATCTGTTGGATTGATACCAACTTTCTCCATCTGAAATCATTGGAAGGTAAACACAAGTCGCTTCTGTCTCTCTCTGTTGCTAAACCTCAGTGAGGCAGTTCCATCCTCATGGTTAACAGTGGCATGCAGTGCTACAGTGCGTAGTTCATGCAGTGTGAAAAACACAGTGGTTCGAGTACTTACGGATACATTGCCATAGTTGTCAGTTTAACAAAGATATCCTTACTCGGCATATCAACAGTATTACAGGTAAAGGCTTGAGGTGGAGGCATTTTGTGTTTTTTGCAGAATTCAGCAGGAGAAATACTATATTCTTGTCTAACTTCATGCAAGTCAGACTTTGCAGCTACCACTAAGCAGGGTATTCTGCTATCCATGAAGTGTTGCTGCAAAGTTGAAGAAAAAGTGAAAGAGACATTACATGATATGTACAATCTGGAAAAGCCTAAGTGTTACTGGTTGTAGCATATTAATATATATGCACTGCACTCAAGTCAGACATTTCTAGAAGCAGAATATTTTATATAGGTCTTACTTTTATATAAATTGCAAAATGGCTTTTTTAATGCATCAGCCACATATAACCTGTACTCATAAATAAAAGGAATTGTAAACACTGGAGCTTGACGTATGGGCCAGTAATTGATAGTTTATATCTATGTGTGTGTGTGGCACACACACTGACAAAGTGTGTATATATATATACACATACACACACATACATATATATATATATTTTTCTTTTACATATACATTTAAAAAAATACACAAACCTTAAAAATCCTGACACAGTACTCAAAGGACTTAGGGTTACTGACATCATACACCAGGCAGACAACGTCGCATACAGTCTCAGCATCAGTCAAAAATTCTGAGTCACTGACATCATGTAGCTGGAAAAACAGACCATAGGAAAGGGAGAAAAGCTTTGTTATCACGTACTTAAAGGAATTTTATAACTTTATTTTTCTTGTTACAACTCATTGTTATGCATCTTAGAACTAATGGACAACTCATTGTTATGCATCTTAGAACTAATGGACTGACAATAGGCAGAATTAATGAAAAACTATTAAGAGAAATTAATCAACACAGCCAACATATGTGAACTGTTAACATCTGCAGGTGATCACAGTCTCAACAGGAAAAGTTACATTTACTTCTAAACACACACCAAAAAAAAGGCATTCATTCTACAGAGGAAAATTGCAGAGCAGAGGACTGGGAGCTGGGAAACCAATGGAAGATATTATATCATAAAGGAAAACTACAGTGGAGTAAGCCATTGAAGAAAGTATTTCAGCCACTGAAGATCAACTATGGCCATTCTAATCAACCCACCTGACAGATGTGTGCTTTCTAGGCAGGTAGGATGGCTTAATGAAGCGTTGACATTTAGAAAGAAGAGACATCAAGACAAATTCCTTCTATTTGTCTGCAGAAGGCTTTTTAATAGTTCACTGAATTTTAAGGTTAACTAGTCTCACGTATGCAACAATGAAGCAATCTTACCAGCAAGTATTTTTCTTGTCCATACACATAGACTGTGTTTATGGCGTAGTAAGATTTGTGTTCTGCACGTATTTGCCTCTGTCTCTAAAAATGCAGAATTTCATGTTAGATTACAGCAACTTTTGCCATCCAAGTAGATTTGAACAGCTGTTTTACTCCAATTATTATGAATGAATATTATGGTTACCTGTGGTTTATTTTTATTTATTATTAATCCAAGATATACAAGTAAATATGCAATATCCATTTGTCTATTTGCTACTCTTAACAAAAATTCAACCTCCAAATTCAGTAGCAATGAGTACAATTCTAATGTTGTCTAAAATAAACTCAAAGACATTTGCATATGAGTATAAGCAAGAGCCTTCTTACCATTAGATTTCTTCCAAGAAGAGCCTGAAGAACTCCACTTTTCCCACAGCCCTTCATTCCAACAACATTGCATCGGAACACATTTCTCTGAGTCTGTTTTTTCTGGAGATCTATCTTTTTATCTCGTGTTACTTTTGGAAGAAAAAAAACCAAATATTTTTCAAAAGATGCATATTAATGTATATATAAACACATGAACTAATTGTCCATTTACATCACAATGCACACAAAATATTATTTCTCAAAAATATTAAATCAAGACTTTTGCAGAAATTAAAGGAGTGGAAGAAGACAGATACTTATTTAAGAAATTTATTCTTGGGCAGATTTCTTAAGTTTAAATTCCTAAATTGAAATGAATCTATTTCTTTTTAATTACCTGTAATTGCTGATGCTTGAGATTCTTGTTCTGCAAGTATCGAGTAGCCTAAATAGCCCAGGTACTCCAGGCAACGCTGTACATCCAAGTACGTGGTCAGTCTAGCAGAGGGAACAAAAAGGAGTTTCAAAACAGATTCCACAAATCCAATTCTATCAACTAATGAAACAATCTTGTCATACTCAAGTTCTCACCCACCAAAATGCAATGGAGCACACTTACGTCCACTGAGAGAGAAACCCCTGGTAGGTAATCCATCCCCTTTCATTTGTACAAACAGTGTTGTTAACATCAGGCCCCCATGGCATATAAGGAAAGACTTTGAACAAATCTTTCAGTTCATCAGTAGACAAAGCACAATCTCTGTCCTGAAAACAAGAACAAGGTATCAGAAATAAATAAATCCTTAATTCACACCTAATCTGAAGCGACACATTTTTGCTCTACAGTTGCAAAGTTCAATAAACGGTCTACCAAAAAAAAACCAAAAACAATGGAGCTTTATCTCTCTCAATATGTGTTTTGTTTTGTTTTTTAATTTAAAACAAGACCAAATATATAAGGAAGTTAAAAAACAAAACAAAGCACAACTTTAGTCTGTTATTTGAGTTGAGGGTAATGGTTGTACCACCATTTTTTACTACATGGCTTAATCCAGACAGTTTCTGAATGAAATGACATAAACATGCTTTCTGTTAGCAAAACTGCTAGCAAAGTAAGTATATACACACTCAAATTAGAAGCTTACCAAATCATGCTTATCAAAAATGCTTTGAAGAAACAAGTATGCATGATGATTTAATTCTGTCGTGCAGTCTGGAGGAATTCTTAGCCTATTTACCAAAAAGAAAAACAAGAAGTGTTAAGTCTGCAACATACAGGATGCTGTAATTCAAAACAACAAATTCCACAGTTGAAGCATTTGGCATTTGACCTCTCATTTGGTTTTCATAATCTCCAAGGAGATCAAAGGTCCATGCTTTTTTTGTTTTAGGAATGCTATGAGTGGCTGTATTTATATTACACTATATTCAGTCAGTGCTGAATGGGGAGGAGGCTGCTGTTAAGAAAACAGAGATGGCAGTACACAATTTGGCACTCTAAGACAGGAGCTCTTCCTCTGTAATTTTCATACATAGATTCTAGCTGATAGGTCATAAACTAAGAACGATCATTAATGTACCAATAAGACAACACTACAACCACAGAGCAGCATAAATTAAACGTGCATAAGCTAAAGAGAGCTCAACGAGGCGATACTTACAGAGGAAACAAGTACTCTGGGGTAAGCTCTAAGTCATCATCATAACCAAAGCGACGCAGAACAGTCCATGTTGTTTCATGCCTTCCTCGCTGAATGAAAAGTGTGTGTAGAAAAAGAAAACCTAAAATCAAATGACAAAAATTCATCTGCTCGAGGTAGTTTCATAGTAACAGACTGAAAACAAGGAATACACATCTGACTTTAAACCATAATATTACATAATGATCTGTTACAGACTGTGGGCTCACAATCTGTAATACTTTAAAAAGTATTTTTCAAACAACTTTTTACTTAAAATAATACACTTAGTTTCCCGCTGCTGTTTGGCCTTTCAGTACCAGCATTTTAGAGTAACTTAGCTATATAAAAATAAAACCCATGGTATTTTCAAGAGTTCAAAACAGTAACACACTTAGCAGGAAGCTTGGAGAGCAGCCTCATGGAAGAGTGTCTTTAATTTTCCTACACACACAGAAAAAATGAGTAGGATTTTGGCTTTGCACTTTCCAGAGCTTAACGAACACTGAGATTTCACTGCTTAGTAAGGCTATGCCTTAGGATTCCCTCTCTTGAAAATTTCTCACTAGTTCTATCACACGTAAGCTCCACAAGCAAAGGGGACAAAATGATGCTCAGAAAACATTTTTTCTCCTTTCATTTCTGCCATATGCTCTGAGCAAATCTGTATAACGGAGCGTTTAAAATTCTGACAGAAACCACACCTTGCTGACAAGCATTGCAACCAGTAAGCCTGGAATTATGTAGGAGAATATCTCCTTTGAATCACTATCATCATTTTGGAGTTCGGATTCTGAACTTCTGTAACAAGAAGAAACCATATTTTTATCCATGTCCATGATTCCAGAGTTGAATCACTTTTTGACATCATACTGAGACTCTCAGCCCTTTTCTAAAAGAAAAGATCATATTCCCAAAGACTTGCTTGTTTTTTGTTCTGTTTTGTTTGTTTTGTTTTTATTTTTACATTAGATGACTGTCAACTTTACCAGAAGACTCTTGCCCACAGCTAAGTAAGGCTTACCTTTTAAGGTTAATCCATTATCAGCAACTCCATCGCTGACGTTTTTCCTAACTACATTCTTTACATCTTCCAAAGCTTGAGGAGCCAATGGTGTATTAAAACAAATTCTCTAACAAAAACCAAAAGAACATGTTAGGACCACAGCTACTAAGCCAGTCAAACATCATGTCCAGTGTAAAATGCAGCCTTAGAAGTTCTGATAAGCTAGGATAGTGCAACCCAATTAGTGAAAATAAAGGAAAAGAAACACTTTACATTTTGTTTTTAAATACAAGCACATTTAAATAGTTGTGGGTTGTTTTTTTGTTTTTTGTTTTTTGCTATAGAACTAAAGCTTGAACTATGGTTAGAAATAAAATCAAGACTATTTCAATTTTCATTAATATGCTCTTTTATGCCAGACCCAAGATTTCTAATTTTCAGGTTTGATTTCCTTGTGGTTCACTTCACTGCTGTTCCCTGAAAAAGAAATGTTTGCTTTTCTAGCATTATCAGAGTTCAATCATTAAGCACAGTGAGAGAAAAAGCAAAACAGTCACCTGAAAGAAGTTGAGCTCTGCATCATTGAGAGTACCGTCGTTATCCTGATCAGAGATTCTAAAAATGCGAGTGAGTGCTTTAATACAGGCAGGTTTCATCTAAGGAATAAAACAAAGTTCAGTATATAAAAAGTACACTGAATGACCCCAGGCAGCTCAAATACATTAAAATAAATACTAGCCTTCATTCTATTTTTTTTTTTTAATTAGACATTCAAACACACAGGCACAAAAATAAGAGGAAACAAAACTGTGACCTAAAGAATTTATATGCAAAAATTTAAAGCAGTCATTGCACAATAAATGTTTCCATATTCAATTATTCAAGCTGAAGGTGGCAACAGTTAATTTAAAAACACTATCAGTTTAAGTTCAGTTATACTGCTACAGAAAGCTTTAACAATGGTGGATTTTCTTTCTTCTTTTTGTGTGTGTGTGTGTAGAAAGGCCTGGCTATCCCAGTGCCCTGCAAAAGCAAACAGCTCTAGAACTACAGCCTACTCTTTCTAATTGAGCAAAATATCTATATTCATCATTTCAACTAAGACTTCAGAAAGCTTCAGACATCAAACACTGTAGATTTTCAGAGTTTATTAATCTACCAGGCAAAGCACTGATGATATGGACTGCCACTATGACAGAAGAACTGCTGGGATACCTTCCATGTGAAGGAAAACAGACAGTGGTAATTCTCTCCCAGCAACTAGTGTGATGATGGACTCTTCTCTTCATAGAGGTCACAGATATTGCATAGAGATTGGTTTTCAAAAAACCAAAAATATTTCAGCACAATTTTATCACATTACTAACACATACAGATGATTCTGATGGAAGAAATCAAAAGTTATTCTCTCATTCTCAACAAAGAATTTATGACTGAGACAACTTTCCTACTGCCCAGTAATGCAAGAGGGTGGGGATTAAGTTCATAGCTTATTTATAATTGATATGAAATTAATGTGTTAAAAAAAAGAACAAAAAACAACCATACTCCTCCATAATATGCTAACTACCTACAGTATTTTCAAACAGCCACATCACTTGTTTTTGATCCCTTTTGCCAAAGCCTCACAAGATGCTCAGAAACCTTCCTTCCCTTAAATCAGGGTAAGACTGGAGCACATTCCCTGAAACAAATGGAATTATTGTGTAACAAAGGTCTAAAGGAGAAATGAATTGAATGCATGATTTTTTTCACCATTACTTTTGACTTAAAACTTATCCTATAACCAAAGCTTATCATTTTAATGATCAGCTCAGATGGAAAACAAAAACCTGTCCTCTTTGTTTTAAAGAAAGAAGGAGGATGGAATTAATACAACACAAAGCAGTAACCGGGTTCTGGAATCCAATATCTGACATTTGGGGGAGGACAAGCAAGAGAAAGGGAAGACAAAACACAAAAAACTTCAAAATTCACTGAGGAAAACAAAACAGTAGTCATCTTTTTTTCCCCACATTATTTATTTTTAAAAATATGTGTAAATACCTCTTTCTCCTCTGGGCAATAAAGAGGACCTGTAGGATGCAGAACAGCTTTCTGTGCGTAATAGAATAGCTCAGATATATTCTTCAAGTTTTTAGCTGAACACTGAAAGAGAAATTCTTAAGATTTATTTGATAGTTTTTGACTATGTGATCTGTGTTGAAGCATACGTAAGAATCAAGCTTTTAAAGTTCTGGCCTCCTCTTGTAGCACCCTGCAGCTTTCAAAAACCATCCCCCAGCCCCTGTGTATGTTCAGTAATTAATATTGACCATGTCGTATCAGTAAAAAAAAAAGCTGTATCCATTTAATATAAAAAAAAGCCCCAAACATATCCTAAGATCTCCATTCCATTTTAATACTTTGCAAATATGTTGCTGGCTTAATGCTGTTTTTAAAACACTTTCTTAAGGAAAAGATCTGAAAAGGCTCTAAATATTAGAGCATTTAATTTATTTAATCAAAAGCACAATCTTTATTCTCAAAAAAACAAAGAGCACACAAACTCACTGTGAGAATAATTATTCTATTTGAAATAAGTATTTATTTTGATCAACAACAACAAAATCACTATTTCTATTACATGCTGCCATGTATGTTTGGCAAGAAGGTATTTTTTGGTACTCATTCTAATATAGGATTACATACCTCTACACATGTTTCTATCTCTGTATATTGATTCATAATGGGAAGAATAGTTTCCATACTGCTGTACTCCACTAGATCAGACTTGTTTCCAACTAATATAAGAGGCAGCCTGAAAAGAAAAAGAAAAAAAAAAAGGATTAGGCTTTAAAAACAGGAACAGAGAGATAGAAATATCTATCTTAATTTAACATTCTTCCTCCCACCAGAAGCCATTGCACTACTTTCATGATGTAACTAAGTAGCACTGACAGCCAGTAGGCAAAATGAGATGACAGCAGTAAATTAATCTGAAATACAATCAAACAGAAATGTACTGATTGTTGTTATTTCAAAAAACCCCACACTATTAAACACAAGCCATATTAGAATAAACAGCATCAGTAGAAAACATTTACAGACCATGCAGTCAAAACAAGTTACATCATTGCAAACATAGACACACCTGGTAAAAGCTGCCAATGCAACTCAAAATAAATAGCTTTGCTGAAATGTACAACAGACCTACATACTTTAAATCCCTTGTTGCTTGAACTTCTTACATCAACTTTTAAGTTTAGTATTTGATTTTCTTAATTAACATCCTCAACACTGTCCACTGATACCCATCGCTGTGAAGCCTAATTCACACTTCTTATCTTTATTTATGCACCTGCTATCTTTATCTGTCCTTTCATTGATGAGAGGAATCCATCGACTTGTTACCTGAAGTGGGGTTAAAAAAAGGAAGACACAAAAAACACAGGTTTAAATTTCATCAGACTGAGCTGTGCACAGAGTCGACTATAAATGCTACCTCTTTCCAAGAGGTCACACATTTACTCACAAAAAAAAAAAAGAAATAAAACCTGGAGTTGCTTAATGAGCAATTTTTAAGATGACTGAAAGGACTGAAAACCCACATACTGAAACGGGCCAGAAGCGAACGAATGCACAAGTGTATTTTATTAACAACCTGACCTCTTATGCATTTTAAATGCCTAACACAGCTTTCACCATGCCTAAAAATTAACACTCATATCAACCAATAATTAGATAAAATGTGTTAGCATACCTTATCAATGGAATTCTTGTTGTTAACAGCATATACTATACAAATCACGTTCGCCTGAAATGAAGAAAACATGGAAATTCACTGCTAAGAATTTTTTGGAGAAACAAAGATTAAAAACATGACAAAGAAAAAGAGCACTTCCAACATTAGTCAAAAGCTGTATCTCTGACTCGCTTAAGGCCCAAACAATAGTTGAAAACTCTTGAAGTAAAGGAAACAAAAGAGAAAAAGACAACTTGTGAATTCCTTGGATTCCTGATTAAGAGCTATTTCAGCTCTGACCTGTCCCTTGGAAGTGCAAAGCTTAAGCTCAATTCACCAAAGCAGAGGTTGTACCCACCCTTCTCACTTGGAGCAGAGGTTGCTGTAACTCAAGGCTCCAAACAATAATAAATGAAATGCCAAGAAATAGCAAGATAATTTTTCTAACAGTAGAAAAATTAAATGGAAAACATTCCTTTGAAAGCAGATTTTTTACTGAACGTTAAAATACACTCACCTGTGAGATTTCATGATAGAGTTGTTCATCATTTTGTTCTGCTTCTGCAATTCAACAGAACAAGATGATCATTAACCCTAATTTCACAATGCTCATTAGATGGTCCTGTTGCTTAAATGGCTTTTTATAAAATGCACTAAGAATTGATTCTACCATAACAATAATGAAAAAGATCCACTAACTCATGAGGCAGAAATGGCCTGTCGCACAAGAGGCTTCTCAGCAGGTACTTTAAAGAGGAATCCTGACATTTGAAGACAGGTTCTCTCTGGAATGAGTCAGTTTGCATCCCCTACGATCACCAGCAGCACCACCTGTGCTACCTCTACCACAACATACAACACATTAATTTTATTGTGGAGACAGTGAACATCTTCACTGAGAGCAAGCAGGGAAGCCATCATCATCTGACGTAGTTTTATCTCATCAGTTGATATTTTAATCCAGACTTTTCCTACACTTACATCTGGTCCCATAGCAGTTTGACTGCTGACAGGCCACTGAGGTCAATGAACAATTCCATACCAACTCTAACTGTACTGCATGGTTTTTACCCGAATAATCCACTATGTGTGTTGGCACTCTTTCAGGGGTGACATCAGCTGGAATGGTGATTTCTTCAGCACGTGGTGGAACCTTGGGTTGTAAAGAAACAGCAAGAAAAAGCCTTTAAAAAATAGTCACTGAAAACTTCAGATTGCTAAGACAGTGGAATACAACCATACTCCTGACAATTAGTCATCTGTAAGACTCTGTTTGTAGTTCAAGCACGTGGATTTTTGTGATGTTTGAAACTCAGTGCTACTTCCTTGCTCCTTCATGGTCTGCTACTGGATAAGGCAGATGTCATGTTTTATGTAAGTGATACTTTTCTCTCAACAGAAAAACATAACTAAACTACACAGAAGAAAGTTGGGAAGGGAATGGAGGGCTATAACACAATTATAAGCAGCCTGTCAAAGAATGGCTCCCTGAACATTTTAAGAACAAACAGAAGCTAGAGCTCTTTTTAACCTGCAAGCTTGGGAACTACATTCAGCTATGTAAACAATCTGATCTTGACTCATGAACTGTGGTAACGTAATGATTTGCATTAAACACGCTGCATAGTTTCAAAGAACAGCACATGATGTCTATTTTAAGACTTGTGATCAGAAGAAATAAACATTCAAGTTTATATGTAAAAAGCTCAACTGTTCAGAGCAATTGCGGTTCTTTTCGTGGTAAAGAGAACTAAGTGCTGCTTTTTTATAAAGTAATAAAATCTAGAAGTAGTTTTACTTTTATTTTGGAAGGAAGTTTTCTGGTTGGGTTTTTTTTTTTTTTTTTTTTTTTTTTGCACTCCACCAAAGCTGGGAAAACATTCTTCAAAAATAGAAATAAATGCAATACGTTGTGTAGTTACAAAAAAAATGGCTAAGTGTAAACGATACACCAACTTTTTACTTCCCCATTCTCATTCATTCTTCTACTCACTTATTCTTCTCTTTAAATATAACAAACCAAACCAGCACACGCCACAAGTTATGGCCAAATTCAACTGCTGATGAAAACTAACAGTTCTCAGGTATTAAAAAAACCTTAATTGGGCATTTGAAAAACAAGAAAGCAACTTAGATCAAATTTAATTTCCTAATCATCACAAAGAGATGCATTTAAACCAACCTACAGCACTTTTCAGAAGTCACTACTGAAGTTTCAGACTTTTTGTTGTACAGAGAGCATCGTTTTAAAGCAGAGCCGTTATCTTGCTCTCTGCAAAAAGTAAAATAATATGAAGAAAACAAAGGAGGATGCTCTACCTCTTCTGGAAATTCTTCACTGACAAGAGACATAATTAGCGATGTCTTCCCAACTCTGGCTACAAAAGAATTAAAAACAGAGATTAGATAATTTGGTTATATTACACTTAACAGTTCCATCCCATCTGAAAAAGAAGTATTTTAAAAATACTTTCTAACAGACCACATTAAAGGCTCTTTATCTGCTATTTAACCATATTTAAAGTTGATAGCGGCAGCTTTCTCAGAATTCTTCTGTGCCAAAACATTTGATTCTATTTCACAATTCTACATCTCATCCAGGAGGGAATAAAATCCTGTTCCATCTTACTCAACAGAATTAGCTGGTTTTAACCTTAAGATAGAATGTTTAAAGAGAAAACAAAAAAAAACCCACCATGCTCCTATCAAAAAATCTCACCTAGTGACACAAGTTACTTTGCTGTCATCGCTGCATTTCCACTCGCCTATTTGACTGTATATAGTTCTTAGCATGAGACAAAGAAGAAGAAATTAAATTCTAGGAGTAATTTGTTTCCAAGCAGAAAGCAGTACTGCGGAACTGATGATCCAGTCTAAGTGAAATCAACTTATCCAAACCTATTTGTGGCACAATAACAAAGGGCTTTCTGACACAGAGAAATGAAAGCTTCTCTTCTTCACGGTATGTTAAAAAGCAGATATTGCAAAAGTATGAAAAGCAAAGAGGACATTACTGTTTGCAGGGAGACTTTTGTTTCCCCTCCTGAGAACAGACAAATCTCCCTCTGTGGCATTAACTGGAGAGCACTAAGACGAAGAGTTCTGAACAGTACGATGGTTGTGTTTCCATCACAGATGTTCATACAAGCTAAAACATGAACTTACACTACCAGGTGTCCTCCTGCCACACCTTCAGCTTCATCCTGACAGAATGAGAAGGGCTTTAAAAGTTCCCATGTTTCCTCAGATAAATACCTTCCTGATAGGCAAATGAAGTTATGAGATAATTATAGAACATACTGGAGCATATTCTGCATCCAACCAAGCCAGCTCCTGTTTGAAATGGAGTAAAGCATCTCTGCTTTGCAAAAATCAGATTAGTTTTTTTAATTTAATGCGACTGAAAATAGAAGGCTATGGACCACGTGTTAGGAAAGACACTCTGCGTACAAACTTCTGATAGACGTGAAGCACTATAGAGTTGTTTCTGTGAAGACCCATAGGTTCGAGAGCAGAGATTTGGTTTATTTTGCTCAAATCTGGGTCAGCCACCCACCTTTCCCATTCTGTTTATAGTCTTAGAAGTATCAGCCTAAACAACATTGGCTGAGGAAAACAGGACTTTGTAACGATTGACTGGTCTTCTTTTCCCTCATATATGGAAGCTTTTAGTACATGATGTACAGAAGTAAAAAGTTGGATACATTCTGAAAGTCACGGGCAATTAAAAATTGACGCTCACACCCTGGGTACTAGAACCAAAACAATCTTAAATCTGAAAGGACCACTACTAGGGGTGAAAAAACTGTGTTTTGGAACAGGCTTTCATCAGAAGGTCTTGCCATTTCAGAGTCTGAATCTGCCATCATCTGGCAGGTACAGCATGGCCTGGATTGACTTGTTTCAGGCAAATAAGTATACATAAAAGACATGCATACAAAACAGCACCAGTAACATTACTAGCAATATTACTAGAAAAACTGACGTATTCCACAGATTTTTAATTCAAATGATTTTGCACACTTTTTTCTCCCTATTTTTCACTGAATTATCTTTATACAAACAAAACTGATACACATCTGCTATAAACAGAACTCAACTAATTTCAAGTCAAGCAAAGGCTTGGTCTGGCTTTAAACAGTACGCTCTGTGAGTCACCCTGCAGTTCGTCTGATATAAATCTAAAACTTGCACTCTCAGCTCATTGCCAAAGAAAGTAAAGGTAGATTACAAAGAAAGTAAAGGATGCATGCACCCTGAGGAGGAATTCAGCCGTGCATTCTGAAGGCTCTGGAATAAACCAAGCTTTGTAAAGGTAGACAAACTTCATGAGCTAACTTCTTCAGTAATCTCCACAAGGACTCCATCCCGAAGCAGTGCTAGAAGCACCCCGGGGCACCGCAGGAGCCGCACTGTGTACGCACACCACGTTCTAAGGAAGGCAAGGCTAGTCACACTGTATCCTCAGTGTAATTAGGCAATTTTATTAACGGCACTTGGTAATTACGTGGTTTTCTTTTCTCGCAAGGAACTTCAGAGCGCTCTACAAGCTGACAGAAGGCAGCCTCCGCGGTACCGCTTCCCTCAGCGCGGAGCCGCACTTCCGGCAGCCCGGCCGTTTATTTGGGCGCCCGCATGTGAGCGCAGGACCGGAGTTTCAGGGGCGCGCCGAGCAGCAGAGCCCAGCCGTAACTGCGGCGCGCATCCAAGGTCACCCAGGCGGCGGCAGACGCCGGGCTCCTCTGCCAGCCCCGTCCCGCAGCTCCCGTCCCGCTGCCCGAATCGCATCTGCCCCAGCGGCGCTACCGGTTCCCAGACTCCTCGGATCGAGGGAGCGAAGTCCGGCCGGCACTGGGAGGCTCGGACGGGACGCGGCCACGAGCAGGGCGAACGCCTCAGCCCCGTTCCCTCTCCGCGGCCGCCCGAGGAGACGCCAACTCCGAGGCAAACTTCTGCGCCCCCGGCCCCCCGCAGAGCAGAGCCCTCCCACCTCCCTCCGCTCCGGCCCAGGGCGAGATGAGGCCGCGGCGCTCCGAGTGCGCGTGGCCGGGCCCGGCGCCCCGAGGCGGTGCGACCCTCACGGCGCCAAAGCACCGCGCCGATCTCTGACGGTCGTTCGGCCTCACCCCACCCTGCTCCCGGCCCGGCCCCTCCCGCACTCACGTTCTCCCACCAGCAGGATCCTCACGTCCTTCTTCATGGCCCCGCTGCCTGGCCCCGCCGCGGGGCGCTCACATCGGGCTCGCCGGGGGTAGCGGAGCCGCCGCGGCCTGCGCGCCCCTCACGCCGCGACCCCCTCCGCGCCGCACCCCCCCCCGCACAGCGGGCGGCCTACGGCGGCCGGGCAGGGACAGCCGCCGAGGGGCGGCAGCGCGCCTGCGCGAGCGCCGACCGCTGCGCGCCACCCTGAGGCGATCCGAGGCCGCTGTGCTGTGCGCGCCTGCGCTGAGGAGAAGCCGCGCGCTGGGCTTCCCTGGAGGCAAGTTGTGTAGTAATTGCTGAACAAAATGTAGTAAAACGCTGCTCCTGCGCACTCCAGCACGAATTACTGTTGGGAGATCAGAGGTGCCGAGTTTCTACTCGCCACTTCATCACTTCCCAGTCCTTTCTCAATTTGGGCTTTGATATCTGTGATGTTCACTTCCTGAGCACTCTCCTCAGTCTTCTATTGAGCTGCTTTGCCCTCCCGTTCAATGAACACTGAACTTCAGTAATACGGTTTTTGATCCGAGATGTATATTCCTGAAAGGCAGAAATCACAGAGATCCGGTTTTTGTTGTAAAAGAGGATAAGTGAAGTACAAGAGTTTACTGTCCCATTTAACATGCTCTTTGACCAGAAAGACCCAGATGTATTTAAAGGAATAAAATGCATTTGATACTGTCCTGCATTGCCTGCAGTCAGATTTTGGGCAGTTGGGGGATTCCAGGTTGTTGCAGAATTACAGGGGAACAAGCTAATTGCAGGTAATGAAGTACAAGAGGTACCTTTGTGTCACTGAAATCCTTTCTCAAGATGTTGATGCCCTCTTCAATTGTTTCAGTTGCTTGGAGATGTTTTGTACCTGTTCTTCTTTAAAGTGACACATTTAATCACTTATCTGTATAATCCTCAGAGAAAACATGACTAGGTTAAACAGCGGGATAATAAAAATCCTTACCTTACTGACAGTTAAACACTGGCCTAGTAAACATAACTAACTGTGTGAATAATCACAGTAAAGTTCGCATTCAACAGTCCTAAGTTATATATTCAAATATATGTATGAGTTTAAGCTCTTTGCATGACTGCAGAGACTTAAGACTTTTTAGACACATGTATGCGTAGTGTTAATGGAAGTCAGTAGTCAGGTTTTGCTCATTTCCAACAAGGTCTTAGAGTTTTTGTAAGCAGAGACAGTGAACCAGTTCCATTTTGTGTCGTTCAGCTGGGTGGAGCTGTAGCACTGTACTGGTTTATGTTTCATTTCAGGAGTCTCCTGTGCAATGTTCACACAGTAAATAGCAACACAGAAGTAGTTTGTGAAAAGAAGAGGGAAAGAGCTGATGGTGACTGAAATACCAAACAACTGCCCACCAGGATGCTCAGTGCTCAAGGCTATGTGATGAGACTAACCTCCTGCAAAGGATGAAATGCACTGGGATTACAGCATTTGCTCATTACAGATTTTAACTGGAAGAATAAAAAGAGAAGAGCAAAGGAACAGCAAAGGAAAGGGAACAGCAGAGAGATGAGAAAGAAGAAAACAAGTAAGGAAAGATTTACAGATGTTTTAGGTTTAGAGCCCTCTAAGTATCCTCTCATGGCAGCCCCATCTCTTCTCTGAGTATTCACACCCTTCCCCGTTCTAAACTGACCTGCGAGCTTGCTGATTTAGGCACTTCCTGGAGTTCAGAAGTCCAGCACTAAGATCAGCTGGTTATTATACCTTAGACCAGCTGAGCACATTTTGCTATTAATTCTTTCAAAAAATGCAATCCTCAACTTGCAGACACCACCAGTGAACTCCACACTGCTTCAGCTAAACCTATCTGCCCGAGTCAGCAAAACGAACACTATTACAACAATGCCAGTATTAACACATGAAATACAAAGTATCCAGGGGAAAAAGAAAAAAGAAAAAAAAAAGAAAAAAAAGGGCAGGATGGAAGGTGAAGTTAACTCAGTCCCAGCCATGGCCCCATGGCCCGGTCCCATGGCCCCACTGAAGGGCATTTAGAATAGTGGCTGAGGTGCAGTGGGGAGAAGCACTGTCTGCTTCTGCCCATACCTTTTCCCCAGGGCCCTGCCCTACAGAGTTCTGGCTGCAATGGGCACCATCTCCAGAGAATGTGGGTTTATTCTAGGCCTCTAAGTCTTCTTCCTCCACCTCTCTGGGGATTCAGTTCACCAGAGTGGCCAGCTCCCGGTTGGCTGTACTTGGTAATGCAGGACTGGCAGAAGCTGTGGGTGCAGCCCATGATCCACATGCGGCCCATGAAGTAGTTTAGGCTGCTTAGTTCCATATCTGCCTGCAGTCGCACGAAATCAACAGCAGCAGCCATAGTGCGGTTTCGTTTCCCACAGGCTCTGTGCTGCTGCCATGTGTGGGGTGCAGGGAGCTGCAGGCTGGGTGGAGTTGTTGTACAGCCCCGAGGTGCTGTGCCCTGCAAGCCAGCATGCAACACTGAGCTCCCCAGGGCAGAGGCAAGGAGCTCCCAGGTCTGTCAGAGCGCTTAATACAGGTCCAAGTTTGGGTTAACTGTAGAAATGAACTGTCATGTGGAGCTAGCTCCCTGTGAGCTGGCCTTCACTTTTATTGAGTCTACAAAAAAGATGCTGTTGTGTTGCTCCAGAGTTTCATTTTCTCAAGGAACTTCCTGATTTTGTAACAAAAGTCACATCAATGTTGCTGACACAGTGGGAGAGCAAGCACCACCACAGAAGCAGCCCTGTCCATGAAGCTGAGGTTACTGGATGGACTTCACTCTTCTGAGATCATCCTGAATTATTCAGCTCATCTCGAAAGTGCTTTGCTATTGATTTCAGAGGATACAGGCATAGGCTGTTAGATCTGAACCAGCACGTGAGCTGGGAAATTAAGTTAATGGGCATGTATCAGGAAACAAAACTACTGACACAGATTGCTCAAGGTTGGATGATAAGAGACAGGCAGAATGATGATCTAATTCTTTTTTTTTTTTTTTTCTGTGCTGCTGTAGAAAGAGTTAACCTTAGTAATCCATGCACATATTGGTACTTCCTCATTCCTGTAGAAGAGAACTATTTGGGGTAACTCATACTGGCTGGCAAGCGTCAGCAAAAGGTGGAAGCTTGATCAGAAACTTAAGTTTGCAAGACTTCCTCTTGATTTGCCAACTAAGGGAATCTGAAAAAAAGTAATTAAGTACCTGAATAACTGTTCAGTAGAACCAAATCTCAGCCTTGGCTGTGAGGCAAGAAAATACTCAGTGCACTGTATCAACGAATATAAATCCTCACCCACTCCCCCGTTTTTAGAAGCTGACACAGACCAGTGTCTTCATCCTGAACTCATGTCTTGACTGGAGTAGTAGGTGGGGCTGCTTTGGAGGAAAAAAAAAAAAAAAGGAAAAGGTTTCTACATACTGCATTTGCCACTTCCAAAATAATCAAATAGCAGCAACTGTTGAAAGCAAGGATCTAAGGGTATGTCATTAGAATGCTTCCACGACAACATTCTTCACAACTCAAACTTGACTTTTAATTTTGAGGACTTGTTTCTCAGATCCTCAAATAATAAGAGTCTACAGGCCAGTCAGCCTCACCTCCATCCAACTAATTCTGGATGTCATGTCCAAGCCCAAGCAAGTGGAAGAAAGAAAAGAAGGTTATCAGGAGTAGTCAACACGGGCGCAGCAAGGGAAAATCATACTTGACTGATCTGGTAGCCTTCTGTGATGTCATAACTGGTTGGGTAGATGAGGGAAAAGCAGTGAATGCTGCCTGCCTTGACTTCAGCAAGGCTTTTGACACCATACCCCAAGAACATCCTTACAAGATAAGCTTAGGAACTGTGAGATAGATGATACAAACATGCTTTATCAGGGAGCTGGAGCACGTGCTCTCCAGAAGTCCCTTCCTCCCCCTCTGACTTTTGTGATTTTTTTTTTTTTTAATACAGTTTCAGTGATGAAAATACAACACTGCAAATGACATTAAAACCATTACATGGACAACAACCATGTCCTTAACTGGACAGAAGATGCAAGCAGGTAGAATAGTTGCCTGTTCCCCACCCCCGCTCTTCCCCCCGAAGAAAAACATCCAGTCATTCGGCATGTATTTTTATCTTTCATCTATGCAGCAGGACATGCTGCACTGTCCTGGCAGGTGCTGATGTCTTTGTCTCTTGGCCGCTTGTTCTATGCAGCATGTAACAGATGGTCACATTTACTATCAGAATATATGTCATGGCTGCATTGTCAAGTACATTCTTCAGGAATCCTCAAGGAAATCCGTGCCAGTCCTCTGTGGACAAACTTTCTACACTGACTTTATCCCTACATCAGCCTGAGCAGGCCTCATCTGCTCAAAAGCAGAGAATGTAAGGAAGAGCGAATGCACTTCAAAAGAAGGGACAGATAATTTCTGAATATCTGCATTCCCCTCACTCATTTATTTTGCCACCCTTCCTGCGCCTGTAGCTGTTGAAGGAAAAAGCCCTTTGTAGCACAGTCACTGAATGGGCTTGAGCACCATCCCTGCTGACAAAAAGAGGATGCAGACCAGAAACAGAGCCCAAGAAGTGCAGTTCACCGGAACTCAGTGTTAGTCTCAACCAGACAAGGGCTGGGCAATTATTCCATTCAAGGCATCTATCCACTCCCTCTGCTCCCTATCGTTCTCACACAGAAACAAAAACTCTCTCATTGGTGTGACCATGGTGATCCCTGATTTCCTCTTCTTTACAGATATTCCCTGGGGCAAGCCAGCTCGTACTTCATAGCCCTCGACTCTCCTTCCAATAAAAACTTGGCCTTGTGGAAATGCATCCTAGAAGGAAGGAAACAAAAAGACATTCATTAGCCAGTGGACAATTCAGCTCTAGCAGACATTATTCCATCCTTGACGTGGAGCAGGAGGAGATGGAGATGAGTGAAAGGGTCACTGAACTGGTGATAGGCAGAAAACATACTAGAGCTGTTTCACACTCTCGAGCATTCTCAGAAGCAAGAAGAGCCTATAACTGCAGAGCTGGTTGAGTGTTCAGGAGGAGCATAGTAGGATATTTTTGTAAGAGAAATGGTAGGAAACAGGATATTGCCCTCTGGAATATCACACATCTTGCCTGAGGTTCCATGTGTGACTACAACTTGGCTGGGAAAAAAACAGGCTATAAAACTTAACAGCAGTAGCAGCTACTTTTTAAAGATTTAGATCTTCCTTACAGACACTCTGAGGACCAGAGTTCCCAAACAGCTCAGCTTCAAAGATACCTCCGACAAAGGAGATCAGCTCTAGAGATTACCTTGTTTGTATTATGCAGCTACTGGGAGAGCTGGATTATAACAGACCCTTTCTCCCCACCCACCTACAGGAAGGAACTTGTGGAATAGTGAAGAACACTCATTTTACCAGTGGGTTTTTAAAGTACAGCAGGTTCCTCTCTTCAGAGTCTAGGCTGAACCAGCGCATCTTAAAGGTCTCCTTCTGCTGCAAGTAGATGGTAGAAGTTCTTTAAAGACCAAGTCCCAAAGACAATTTTTTCCCAATCAGAGCAGATCCCAAGGTTGCTTAAGTGACTCTGAGCTCGAATTCAGTTTAACCCATCCTCTTAACTGGCAACTAGTGAGTCACTGCTGTATGCAACTGGAGATTTACATTTAGTGGCAATCCTTTGGATAAAGCATGGAAATTCATTTTGCTAACAACCCAATCAGGTTAAAAAAACAACCACAGTGCATGGATTAATCAACATCACTGCAGAAAACAATCCGTGGGCCAGTGGCTATCACAAGGAGAGCGTGCAAACAACTTCAGGATTTGGGTTTGGGATGTTGTCCCTGCCATTGCAGCATGGGCATTTATTTTTCAAAGTGCTAATTCCATCAACTGCACTCATGGAAACATTCCCTGAGATATTCATTGCTCTGTGCTGAAGAGTCCTCTTCCAGGGCTCACTCCAGTTTGAGTTTAGGCCTCAGGAAAAAAAGCAAGCCAAAACATGCTTGAAGCTGTGACTATTCTCTCTACAAGTACCTGCAGGAAGATGTACTGGGAGGCTAGCACAGAGGTAGGCAAAAAAAACCTACCATCAATATTCAGTATTTAATCACTAAATTTTTCAATAGGACTTTGACTTGCAGTTCATCCAGAGGAGCAAGGCAACAAGTAGCAGCATTCAAACAAGATCTCAGGTCTTCCTACGCTCTTTAGTAGAGCCTGAAATCTCTCTCTCAATGTTTCAATAAGTAGTAGCCCAAGTACTTTCCCACAAAAATAAACAACCAACCCAAACCATAGGTTTAACACTGAAGAATTTGCCACAGTAAAGAGATGTGACTTCTGTGCTACTAACTTAGATAAATAGGGAAATAATGGGGCTGGCATGTGATTTTCAGTTCCAGAGGCAGCTGCAGTTCAAGAGCTGTAATTAGTAGGCAACTGATACAGTAATTCATTTAGTGTTGCCTAACAGTACTTTGCATTTCCACTGCCTACTAATCCATCTTGCTAACTCTTCAAGAAGGATTCTCCTTCACAGTTTTCTTCTCCATACAAAGTAAAACATGATCCTAAACAACACAACAGGCTTGAATACAATGTCATTATTGACCCAGCCCCCTTAATAAATCATTTATGAGTAAGCACCATAGAATTATCAAATGATCTCCTGGAGGAATCCTGCTTCTGTACTGTCAAGTAGGTAATCTCAACCTACCTTTGGTCCTGTTTTCTCCATATATCCTTCTTTGATATAGTTTCTTGTGATCCGGGGTATGATCTAGAACACACGCACATAAACATCCGCCATCTCATTCAGGCTCATTTTTCTGTTCTTTTTCTGTCAAAGCAAATCACTGACAATTTTGGCTTTTAGGGCTTGGGGTTTTTTTTTTTCAGCTGCTCAGCAAAGGGAAGTCTGAATTAAGAAGGAACACAGGATTTTTGACAGATTTCAGTATAAAAGGAAACGGAGTCTTTCTGGCCTTAAGCGTTTACTTCCTTTCTGCACGTTAGCCACAGTGTGACCCTTTTTTTCTCTTCATCTTCTGTCCGTCTCAAGGCTTCCTACTAATTTGGCACGCTATAAAGGCTGACTGTTGTCTGGTTGCTTTCAAAGAGATGTTAATTTTACCTATCTATAATAAGAAAAGTGACTGTTTTAAGGAATGTGAAGGAATACAGCAGAAAAAGAAGTAAATTCAGTGATGCTCACTGCAAAGAAAAGAATAAAGTGGGACAGAGCATCTTTGTGTTTACTTGCAAACCTGGTATTCCTGCCCAGCAAGGAGATGATCAACGGGTCAGTGTAAGAGATGGCCAAATGAGTTTTAGTTTGTGTTTGCCATTAAAAGACTTCATTTCCATCTCTAAGACAACTGAATACTAAGGAATATTTGTTGGCACCAACAGAGACAGTGAGTGTGAGTGATTAGAGTGATTACAACACTGAGCATGAATGATTAGAGTGATTACACGCAGTTGGCATAGCTAAACGCAGATATGTTTTGAAGAGCAAACAAAGATTTAGCTTTCATATCTGATGTCAACCAGAAGGAGAAAAAAAGAATGAGGTGTAACTGTCAGCACTAGCTGTGCAGAAACACAAGCTTCAAATATAGCAAATAAGAGGGGAAACAAAAGCACCATCTCCTGCCATATTACATAGGTAAGCGTTATGGTCTCTCAACTAGGGTCTCTATCTGTTTAGTACACAACTGCATCTGCTTTGCAGATTCATTTTTCCCCAGTGCCATCACACAGAGTCTGTCCACAGTTCCACTGACACCTATACCAGCTTTATGTATTTTAAAGCTGCTGCCTCCAAATCACAGTATTAGAAGCAGGCTGAGGCACACTAGGAGCCTGCCTCTTTCTCTAGAGAAAGCACAATGGCAGCTGGCATTTCCAAGCCAGCATGCTGCTGTTTGAGCACCTGGTTCTGGCACAAGTGGGAAAATGCTTTCCCATAATGTGTTTGGACAGACTGCTTCATGCCTTGTTAAGTTCTCACCTCGTGCTCTGAGAGAGCTGGGAAGGTTGTTCTGAGATAATGGTAACGTGCAGCCCGAATGGCATTGAACCAGTCAACAATCTCCTAGGGAAAAGAGCAATACAAACAAAAAGACAAAAATAACACGAAGGGGTAAGAATGATGCCTTTCCAAAAAGGCCTTTCTCCTTCCTTGTAATCTCTTTGCAAATACAGAATTTCTCTCCAATGGCCAGAGAGAGTCAGTGACTTGTCCAAGACACCTGAAAAACACTCAGCTTCCAAAATAAGTTTTAAATGCCTCTCCAAGAAGACTCTGGACAGGCTTTTTCAGTTGCTTCAGTTACGGACTCTTTAGAAACCCTCATACCTGGAAAGACTTCAGAACTATATCAAGGGAAGAAACAGAAATCTAACAAAGCCTGTAGACATGCTTCTTAAAATCACCATTGTTTGTTTGGAAATAATGCAGAACAACTATATTCTTCATGTGCGTCAAGAGGCTTCAAAGAATACAATCACTGAATTATATAAAACCATCAGAAAATTATCTTAGACACTTATGTACGTGCCATAAAGAATCTGTGAGAATATTTAGTGTGTGAAGCTGAATACTCCAACAGAACAGGACCAAGATGTTGCAGTTCCTAGTGTAAAATTCAGCAACATTCTAAATTATACAAGTCATAGTGATTTTGAATCAGACCCTGCAAAAACAAGATAGCTCTTCCAAAATATAGACCCAACATCTGACAGTACTGCTCATTCCAAAATCTCTGACATTCACCTTTCCGCTTTCATGATAGACAAAAAGGTTCCTTGTTTGACCATCTGTCTTGTATGTGATTTGCAGCCCGTGAGCATGATGGATTTTCTCTGCCTGGAACATCACATTCAGTTTCTCAATGCTGATAACGGCTTTTGGACCTTTGGGCTGTGAAAGTGAAAAGCATCACTGTATTAAAATGGTCAAAAGAAAGGCAATAGAGGACAGATTAGCTGAGAACTAAATCCTCACTGATCAGAAAGTGCCTGACAATGTGATATATCCGGAGTATAAAAGCCCAAGTTCTATGTCACATAAAATCACCTACACGACTCCCTTTCCCTGAAAATGTTTGGCTCTGGAGTGATGCATCTGCAACTTCATAGTAGGAAGTCAATTAGCTGCACTCTCCCATGGAAGGGGAACATGTTGAGGATGTTGCTGCAACAGCTGATGAAAGAATATTTTGGTAATGTAAGAGGTAGCAGCTGCTAACAGATCTCCTCTTCACTTTGCTATTCACTGTCCATTTCCTCTGTTCACTAAGGAAAAGGAGGCTGCAGGGAGGAGATGAGGGAGGAGAAGAAGGCTTAATTCCAAAAGAGCATTTGTCTAAGGTACCACAGATGTTAGTGTGGAAACATCTGGGTTGCTCCTAGTACAGGCTGCTAGAGACAAAGCTATTTGAGCTGTTTCCAGCTGATAAGGAGCAGAGCCTGAGGCTGGATGCGGACCAACTACCTGCAATTGACTCTGGCTGGGAACTCACTTCTTTAGTGTAGTACTTCATCACCCCTTCCCTTGCTGACAGGAGAAACCGCCTCTGCTTGAACTGCTTGCTTTCCCGTCCACGCTTCCAGAGGAATCCTTCATGGCTACCTGCGTATTGCGTGGAGACAGGTGTCAGACAAAGGCAGCACAGCAGCAGCACTTTTATCTGATGTGCCACAGAGTTTCAAGTTTCTTTTCCATCTGAGAATTTTCACCTCAAATAGAACAAACCAGTGGAGAACTACAGAACTGTGTGAGCATATATGAGCTAAACATACTCTGCACTTGTTAGGAGCTTCTCCTCAAAGTTACAGACTTGAAGAACTGCATATCCAACATTTCATTCGATGCAAACCATCCCTAAAGGCCTTCAAAGGTGCAGACAAAACACCGCGCTGTTGGTCTTGAAACAAATACCTTTTCTCTGACAATCCTAGCTTTTACCTGCAGAACAAGGATCTTGGCAGACTCGGGTGGCAACAAATTCCTCACGCTCATATTTAGCTCTAATCCATTGTTCTCTTAAAACCCTGAAAGAGGAAAACATGGATAAAGCTGATCTGCCTCTACCTCATTTTCACCGACCACCCCAAAGGACCTGCAGAGGGAAGCAGTAGTTTGATAGCTGTGAAGGTCTGCTGCACTGAACAAACAATCAACTTACAAGCAATCGCAGGACTGGGGGATGTAATAATAGGGAGGGACTTTTGCTTCATATTTTGCTTTGGCACAGAGATTCCCGTGCTTCTTCATAAACTGAAATACAAAAGAAGATCCAGTTAGGTCTGCAAATACAAAACCAATATTACGTAACAAACACAAAACGAAACTTGGATCAAAGGGAACCCTGCACACTTTGCTCAGTCTCACCCCACCTTTCAGCATCTCTGGAGTTTATAGATTTCCTTTAGAACTATAGTTTGCACTTTTTAGATAGCTGGCCCTTTTCAGTACTCTAAGTTCTGAACCAGATGGGAGGGAACACAACGTTGTGGTCGTTAATTAAAATGACAGAAGAGAGTAAGGAAGAAAATATATATTTATGATCTCCCTTTATCTTCACCTATCCCTAGAAATAAGTGATAGCTATGCTATTAACACATTTCCACAGAAAGATGACAGGTTGAAGCAATGTTTAAGGTTATTTTCATTACTAAAGGGAATGTACTATCTGGACATATCAGTGGGATCTAAGCTTTGATACGCAGACCACTGCAGCCTGTTAGAAATACCACCACCCATCAGTGTAATCTGATCGAGTAGGTCATCGAAAATCCCTGAAGGTACCCATGCAGTTAACTTTGCTCTGTGTAGCTTTGCTCCTCTGTCCATGGTGGATGGCACAAATTCTGAGTCACAAGTTATGCTGAAATACGGAGAGTAAGTGAATTATTCCTTTTCCTTCCGTACCTCTATAAGATCGTTCTCCCAGAAGTCAAGCCGAAGGGATTTGACCCTGCTGACTTGAGGAAGATTGCGATGGATTCCGGAGCACATCAAACAAATGAATATTCCAAGTTTGTAAGAAGCCCACTCTGGATCTAGACACAAACAAGAAGAATGTACTTTATAACACTGGTATAACTAACTGGGAAAAGGCACAGCCACCGATGCACAGCCCAGGTTTCACACCTAATACATCAAATCCCACCCCACTGTTTATGGCTGCCATTTGCGCACATTTAGAGGAACAGCACCTGCTTTTCCCATTGAAGAATGCAGCCCTGGAATCTGTGAGCTTTCTCACAGAGCATTTGTTTAAAAATTAACGTGACCGTTCAGGCAGACGAGCAGCGATGTGAAAGCTAAGCTAATTATTAGTTCATCGTAGAAGGTTCTTGTTGCTGAATTTGGAAGGCTATTTCGGACAGCGAGCACAACTAAGATCACACGGAGCGCAGCCGCCCGGGACCGCAAGTGGAAGCTCCCGCCTGCCGCAGCCGCGTCCAGTCGATGCTGAGAGGCGCTGCGAGCGCACCAGCAACTTCATTTCCTCCGGCCGCCTCTCCCTTATCGCTCCGAACAAACGCCGCTTGGCGCTTCTTCGCAGCCGCTGAGGGGTTACCGACCGACTACCGGGTCCCCCGAGCTCCGCAGCCACCCGCCGGCTCGGCTCCTCTCCTGCGGCGCGGCGGCAGCTCCACGCAGCCCCGGAGAAGCGGCCGGAGGCCATTTCCTGCCCCGCCGCCCGCGCGCCCCTCGTCGCTCCCGCAGCCCGGCCGAGCGACCTCCGCCGAGCGACCTGCCGCGGCGCTGCCCTCCTCGGGAAACCGCCCGCTCCGTCCTCCCGCCCCTGGCGTGCGCGAAGCTAAAGGCGATGAAACAGAGGAAAGGACAGGAACAGAGAACGGCCGCGCCTCGCACCCGCGACGGGATGGGCGGGCGCCCGGACGGCGGGCACGGCCCCGCATCACCGTCCGCACCGCGCCGAGGGGCAGCGGCTGCGGGAGGAGCCCCCGGTCCTTACCCGGCTCCCCACAGTCGGCGCAGCGGCCGTTCCCGGTGACCTTCAGCAGCTCCTGCAGCAGCGTCTTGTTGCGGTCGCGGTCCATCACCGCCGCCCGGCGCGGAGCTCTGCGGGTGGAGCCCGGCGGGAGGCTCGGCCCCGGCACGCGAAAGGAGGAACTCCTTGGGGGCCGCCTCGCGCGGAGGAGCCGCCCCAGCACCGCACCGGGAGTCGGTAACCGGCGGACTGCGAGTAGCGGTCGGGAACCGCAGCGAGCTGCGAGCAGCCCTGCTGCAACACTTCTAGCCGCGCTGCTAACAACGCGCTGAAACTGAAGTTTCGATCATCGCACAGCCCCGAACCGAGCGCACAAGCTGCCCACAACCAACTTCCCTCTTTCCGGTCTGAAAAGGTATTGCTAAGGCTCCTGCTTTCAGGGAGCCCATATGGGGCACGGCTCATTTTTCCCTCAGCAGCAGCCCCATCCTTTCTGGACAGCGTTTTTTTTTCTGGCACAGCAGCAGTAGGAGCCCTTGCTTTAGTCTCTGAATTGACACTAGTCCTTGGACCTGAACTGACACTACTTAAGTTCCTGACTACTGTAGTGTAAGAGTTAGTACTTCAAACAAACCATCACCTGTAGAATATCCTTCATTCAAAAGAGCTGCAGCTGTTTGCATGAGGTAATTGCCCACAGGTCACAGATCAGAGGATCAAAGAGTGAAAATACTTGAATTCCACCTTACCTTTTGGACTCAGCACCAGCTTGGAGATTCCTGAACAAAAATTCTTAAGGCAGTTAGTAGAACCAGACAACCAAGTTCAGGAGGAGTTGCCTCTCACTCCTCATTTACCTTTCCCATCTACTTCCTGAAATGAACAATAGTCTATAGAGCCTTTTTCTGATAGACATAGGTCCATACTGTAATTACTCTAGGACTGTGATCCTTCATAGAGAAGTGATCCTTCTTTTCTTTGTAAAAAATAAATACAGAAGTCGCTCCAACCATTGATTCAGCAGCACAAGCCATTAAAATTTTAACAGCCACCACTTTATTTCACTCACTGATAGTTCTCTGCTACTGAAAGAGTAAAGTGTAAAGGTTATCTACAGCACCGTTATTTCAAATAATTTACTGTTTCCATAATTATTTTTCATTCATGAAAAATGATAACAGAAGGTACCAGAAAACGGCCTTGTTACAGAAACAAGGAGGTAAACAGAGCACCACTGTGCTGCAACAATCCCTGTTTGAGAAGAAAAACACAGTTGAAACTGCAATACAAAGTCAGAAAAGAATATGGATGAAGTAGTTCCAGTTAAGAACATCCTCAAATACATTTTCACAGATGGAAAACATTGTTTTAGACTTTGCTACAGTTTTGGATGCTTCTGATATGAACAGTAAGACTTTACCAGATATATTGTTGTATAAAAACATGGTATCACAAACAATGAGGCTGAAGTCATCAAATAGAAAATGAAGTATAAAAATAGAACACAATATACAAAAGTGGAAGCAATTAAATATTACTGAACTTGAAGTAATACTTGAATAATTGTTATTTACAAAATCACACCTAACGTCTGAGTTCATCTTGTACTACAGGATTCATTTCTCTATTCTTTTAAGGAGATTAACACGCAGGTCAGCTGAAAATATGAATGAAGTGAAACCAATGTACACAAATGTATGTACATAGAAGCACAGTGCTCTGTAATGACTTGGTTGGTTATCTGCATGTTACTGAGGAGGGATTTGTTTTTAGCCATTTACATTTCAGAAAAGCATTTGCTTTCTCTCCCTGTTCCCTTCTCACTCTGGGTTATTTAACACATATGCAAATTCCAAATGAATCAGGCCTATTTTAGTCAATCATCTCCTCAAAGAGGAGGAGAAAAAGAAAGCACGCTGTTGAAGCTGAGAGTTCCATGTTTGAAACCAAAGTAGTACCAACTGATCAGTTGGTGCATTTAATATTGTAAACGCACGTACTGACAAGCACCAAACAAACCCACATTTCAGATGTGGAGAGCAATATTATGACAATAGATATTTACAGTATTTTAAATAATTATAGAAATTTAATATACAAATGGCTCTGAATATACAATAAAATAACGTGGTAAAAAAACCCTGCAATTATGGTGAGAATACCACCATTAGGCACAAAGTATTTCTGGTGCTAGTGATTCTAAGGGAAGTCTAGAGACAGACTGCTCATTGCTTGTCTGGGTATTTCAAGATGAATTCCTTCAAGATAATGCAAAAACCTAAAAAGAGAAAAAGGAAGAATGACTACAAGATGACAAAATTACTTCCAAATGGCAGATAAAACATTCAGAAAAGCAACATCTACCCTTTCTGTCTAGAAAGATTTAAGAAAATATTTTACCAAAAGTCTTGAACTACCTTGCATACTGAAGCATAGCAAGATTTAAGAAAAGCAAAGCTTACCTTCTTTTTGTCTTTCCTTGCTCTTTAAGCTTCTCAGACCTACAAATGCTGCGAAGAGTAGGGAGGTACTCAAGTATGCTGGCTTGCTTATTTCCAAGGTTCAAAGGAGCTCTGGAAAATACAGTTCTGATGACTGCCAGCCTCTTCTGTGCTTTTTTGTGGATGCTAAAATAAAGAACGAAGCTTTACAGTTTCTTGTTCAAGAACGTATCTGCAACTTTAAGATCAAATCCACTTGATTAAAACTGCTAAGGAGATACTGGTTTCCAAATCTGCTTTCAGCGGATACCTGCACTAGTTACACAGCATCACACAGATGCCCTTAAAAACATGAGGGGCTGAAGATAGTTTTCCCAGTGTTCTTAGCTCAAATACAGAGTCTAGCCTGGGGAGGTCTTCACAGTCTAGTCAAGAATGTGAGGTTGAGTACATCCATCAGACAGCCAAAGGCATCTGTGGCCTTCAAAAAAATAGAAGAATCAGGTAACTGCCATTCTGGATATACGCTGTGTTGGCCACACATGGTCACAGGTTAGATACATCCATTTTGACACTGCTCTTCTGGGTACTGATTACAGAAAGGCAGTACCTCTGGATTACATTTATCTTCACCAGGTAGCACCTACACACGTAATACAGACTCAATATAACCAGGCACTAGATGAAAAAAAAAATTGCATTTCTGGTACCTTCAGAACCAATTTCAGTCCAACTGACTGGGAAAAGCCTTTAAATTTCTTTAAATTTTTGTTTTTCTTACTGGAGTAACAGTGTGTGAATTGAATTTAAAGTATACAGACCACATTACAGCCACCATTCCTGAACATTATGGTCAGGGTATTCAAATGTTATTTTGGGCAGCAACTGCTTAGCAGTTAATTTGAGCTCATTTAAGCAAAGTTAACAACTTATTCCAGTGTTCTCAGGCCTACTGAAAACATTGATGTTGGCATAGCATCTGAAGCAGTGCTACACTGAGAAATGCTCTTCTGGACAAATAACTCCAGAAATATTAGCAAAGCCTTACCTTAAATCAGCTGACTGATTGAAAGATACAGAATTTCTCGTGTCTGACATATGCAAAGTCAGTCCCTCAAGTTGATCACTTCCAGGCGTATTACTTGTGCTCAAAGAGGCTTCCAAGTTTTGAGAAATACTAACAGAACATTTGTTAAAGCTAAGTGCTTCAATAGCTGCTTTTATTTCACTGCAGCTCTGAGAGCTCCACCAATCAGTATTTTCAATACTGAATTCATCACACAGACCATTTTTGATTTTGCCATTCATCCAGTTGAATCCTTCATCTTTAGAGAACTCTAGTGGCTCCTTTGCAGGACTGTTTATACAGCAGTCCAAAAAAGACATGTCCTCCACAAATTCAGTCAGAGAATTCAGACACTGAACAACAAGAGCACATCTTCTGTCATTTGATGGGGCTCTGCTTTTCATTTCTTTTCCTTTTCTGTTATTCATCAATTTTGATTCCTCTTCATTCACTTTAGCACATGGTGGAGGACTATCTGATGGCAAAGTTAAGAATTCAGCTGAACAGTTCAGTCCAGTATCAAATAAGTCACTATCATCCAATTCTTCAAGCCTTTTCTTGCTCTTTGTCTTTCTAGATTTTTTCCCAGAGTTACTTTTCCCATAACAGTAACTGTTAATGGAACTGTTTTTTGAAGAAGCTACGGCAGTCCTCTCAGGTATAGGGTTAGATGCTTCAGACTGATTTGAAAGGTAATTCACTGGTAAAGGGAGAAGAAATTCAAGATTACTATATATAAAATCCACTTTCTTCAGCTGGAATTCTGTGAGAAGCTGTATCAATTTATCCCAGTTCTCCTTGGTTGTGATCTTCTGCTGTAAAATAATAGTTGTGGAAAAGTATATTAATTTATATATTAAAAATAATGTATTTTAATGCAAAACATATTACAGAAAACCTCATATTCCCAGCTTTAGTTACGAGGCAAAGGACGAGGTTTTCTGCCAACTGCTTCAGTTTGCGTTTTGCTTAATTACTAGAGAATATATTAACTTGGACAACAAACTTCTTCAAAAAGATTTCCTTCCAAGATAATATTCATAGTGACAACTGCACTGAAATATCTAGCAAAATACCTTAAGAAATGTGAACAAATCTTCTGACGGCAACAGGATATTCTTAAGGCCAAGCAATGTCTCCACACAGCCTGTATCACATTTTGGAGATTCCTGAGGTGGGGCATCATGAGAAAAGTCAATCTTGGGACCTGCAGTCTTTTCAGAATTAATTGCTTGATCTGCTGGATTTGTTTCACCTTCTCCTGCACAAAGACAATGGACATCACTTGAAAAAAAGCTACATCATCAACTTACCGGCTTTTCTCCCCCACGTCCCCCCAGTTTGCCTTCATTCCTTTTACGAAGAATGCTGCAGTTCTGAATGCATACAGAAACTGAAATTGCCCCAATCTTGCCCATTTCATTCCCTTAGTTCTCAAACTCTCCCTTTTTGCACGTGGCCATTAGAAATTATTTGTTATATGCATCTGTGTAACATGCTCACACTGAAGATACTCCTCCTGTATCCTTGTATCCTTTGGCTGCTCCCTTGCTAATTATCCAGTTTTTCTCCTTTTTCAGTTCTGTCTTTCAGGTGAGTTGCCT